AATCGCAAATCTTGGACAATAATTATTTAAACAAAAAAATTTTGCTTCTTTCCTAAGCATCCTTCAAATTGCCCACCTAACATAAACGATTGTGCGACTGGTTGGTTGACGATGATGAAAGTTTTCACTGTTTAGTTCAGTGCTTTTAGTATGGTCGGTGCATGAGGTAATCCTTGATTGATCAATAGTGAAAAACATTTCTGATATAAATTATTTATTTATGTATAAAATTGTGTCGTTTCAAGGAATATAAAGTTTGTTTCAAGGAGAACTTGGACAATAATAGTTGTTTTATGCATAAATGCAGTCAGTAATATTTATATCAGAATTATTTATCTTTAGATAACAATCGTGTGTGCAAATTTTAGTATTCAAATTCCAAAAATGAAAAGTAAAAAAGGTTCTTTGAAAAGTAACACCAAAGTGAGTTCGAATCAGTTAATTCAATCGGAAAAATCGGCTCATAATGAAAATATACCAAAGATGGATAGGAGAAGATCGATTAGGCTTGAAAAGAAACGTTTAAAGGATGAGAAAAAGTTTCAGGAAAGAATTAAAAAAGGTAAAAATGTGTAGATAATATTTGGGGGTTATTAACATGTCTATATGTAAATTTGTTAATGTTAAAAGTAAATAATTTTGAATATTATCTTTAATAGAAAGTGCAAATAGATGTCCCAATCCCAATGTCATACGTGTTTTTAACTTTTAACCAATTTCTGTGAGAATCATAGTCTCGTTTCATTTATTTTTTTAAATCACAGTGAAGTTAATAAACAGTGTGCCATAAATATAAAAATCATTGAGCAACTTGTATAACAATACCCTTTTGTGTTTTGCATGTAAATAGCGGATTACATAAAGTGGTTTCAAGATAACTACCGCAAAATGTTCACCTGATAAGAAATTAATTATTTGATAACGCCAATAAATTGAAAATCCACTATTCAAGATATTTATCGGGTCAGGTTAATTAACACGCGTTACTAATCGCTTTGGAATGTTTGCGAGCTACTTTCAGTAGGTTGGAGCAATAGAAAAAATATATTTACCAAAAACGTGATACAACTTTTGATAGATCAAAAGGCATCAATTTGCTTGTGATGGGTTTTGAAATCAAGATTTTGTTTGAAGTTTGAATTGCCAAATAGAATTCAAGAACTCAATTTTTTCTTGTAAGGAATAATCCAGAAAATTTGGATGTATGTACATTGATGTTGTAGGTTTTTGAGGATTTTGAAAATTTTGACATGATTTTATAAGATTTTAAAAGATTTTAGGTAATTTAGGAGCATTTTAGGTAAGTTAGAAAGGTTTTTAAAGATCCTAAAGGATTTTCAGAGATTTTAACGAATTTTCGAGGATTCCAAAAGATTTTTGGAAATTTCAAAGGAATTTTGTTTTAGGAATGATTTTATAAGATTTTGCCGGATTTTTTTTGTTCTAATAAAATTTTGTGAAATTTTATGCGATTTCAAGTGATTTTAGTAGATTTTGTGAGGTTTTGTTAAGTTTTTAAAGATTTTCAGGGATTTTAAAATACATCTTACCAGTTTTTCTGGACTTGTACACAGATTTTGACTAATCAACCGCTCCGAAGTTTAGTTAACTTTATAAAATAATGAACACATATTTTAGATCTTATTTATTGATTTTGTAGGATTTTAGGGATTTTGAAAATCTTTACACGATTTTACAGGTTTGATTTTCAAAATTTTAGGTGATTCTGGAGCATTTTAGGGATTTTTGAAAAGTTTCTAGAGATTCTAAATTCAAATGACAAATTTGAATGGAAAAACGGAAATTCCTAGACACTATAGGATTTCATATTACTTTTTCGAATTTCATCATATGATTCTATGGAATTCCACCATAAAATTCAATGGAATTCTTGGTCAAAAATTCCTGGGAATTACACTGTGAGATTTCATGAAATTCTTCGGAATTCCACTAAAATTTTAAGTTATTCTGCGAAAATGTTTGTTAATTCCATAAATTCCTTAGAATTTAACTAGAAGATTTTATGGAATTTCTCGAAATTCCATTCAAATGATAAATTTGAATAAAAAAACAGAAAGTCCTAGAAATTTTACTATAAGATTTCATAATACTTTTCCAAATTTCACAATATGATTCTAGGGAATTCCACCATAAAATTCAATAGAATTCTTGTACAAAAATTCCTCGGAATTTCATGAGATTTCTCGGAATTCCACTAAAATCTTATGTAATTCGACAAAAATTACTCTGAATTTCACTAAAATTTAATTCAATTCTTCGGAATTCCGCCGAACTTTCTTTTGATTCCATTGGAATTCCACGGAAATTCTGTTTAATCCCAAGAGAAGTCTTTGGATTCCATGGATTTCCACAATAATATTTCAAGGAATTCCATGTAATTCGACAAGAATTCCTTGGAATTTTACTGAACATTCCCTTGAAATTTTATGTAAGACGACAAAAAATTAAATTATATACATATATGTAATTTGATGGAAATTCTGCTAATATTTCATAATTTTTTTATTCGAAATCTTACTGAAATTCTCCAAAATTCTATAAAAATTTCTCAAAAAATTCCAAATTCCATAATTTTTTTTAAACTCTACTGAAACTCCCCAAAACTTCACCACTGAAATACTCTGGAATTCCATAAAATTTTTACAAAATTTTGCGGAATTTCACTGACATTTCATGTAATTTATTAGAAATTTTTCGGAAAATTTTATGAGAATTTTTTGAAATTTCACTGTAATTCTACGTTATTAGTTGAAAATTTCTCGAAATTCCAATGAAACTTCAATTTTTTTTTCAAAATTTCATTTATTTCCATACGAATATTTCGAAATTTCCCTGAAATTCTCTTTCAATAGTCAGGACTTCCTGGGAATATTAATCAAGTAATTTCTTGAAAGTTCACCAAAATATATTGAAATTTCATGTTCATTACATGGGAATTTTTCCAAATTTCACCTAAATTCCAAGTTTTTAGCCGGAAATTGCTCGGAATTCCACTTTTTTTTCTATAATTTTACTAAAATTCAGTAATTCGATGCGAATTTTTCAAAATTTCACTAAAATTCTATATATTTAACTGGGAATTCCTCAGAATAAAAATAAAACTTCATGTAATTACATCAGGATTTTTCGGAATTTCACTGGAATTCCATATGAAACGATAAGAGTAGTTCAAAATTTCATGTAATTCCCTGACAATTCCTTGAAATTCCATGTAATTGCATCGGAGCTCCATATCATTCGACGAAAATTCCTCTGAATTCATGTAATTTTTTGAAATTCTTTATGTAACTTAACGAGCACTGAAATTTTATGTTGGGAATTTCGGTGTTATTCCATGTAATTGTTTAGAATTCTTTCATGCTACTTATTCGGAAATGTCATGTAATTTCACGAAATTACATGTAATTCGAGAAGAACCAAAAATTTCACATGTAATTCCTTTTTCGGAATAACATAATTCTACCAAAATTCCTCTGAATTCCACTAAATTATGGAATTCCTCGAAATTCCATTCAAATGACGAATTTGAATGGAAAAACGGAAATTCCTAGTTTTACTATAAGATTTCATAATACTTTTCCAAATTTCAACATAAGATTCTATGAAATTCCACCATGGAATTCGAGAGGAACTAAAAATTAATGTGAATTCTATGGAAACTCCGCAAAAATTTCACATTTTATAACTTTCTTAGAATAACATAATTCTACCGAAATTCCTCGAAATAAATTATGGAATTCTTAGACACTTTAACAGATTTTTGGGGATTTCAGAGGATTTTTGGGAATTTCAAAGGAAATATTTTTTAGGAATGTTAAGTATTTTGCAGGATTTTTTTTTTGTGAGTTTTTGTAGGATTTCATGCAATTTCAAGAGGTTTTGTTGAATTTTTAAGATTTTTATGGATTTCAAGTAGATCTTGTGGGATTTTTTAGAATTTTGACCAACTTGTACACAAATTTTGACCAGTTAACCACCCTTCGTTTGAAAACCCATCATTTTTTTTTTCTATTATAGATAGAAAGCTGAAATTTTCAAGGATTTTTATCCCAGTGGAGGTGTACAATCCCTGAAAATTTCAGCTCATTTAGACATAGTTCCAGAAATAAAATCGCGTTAAGCAATATGGGGTAAATTTATCAATTTTTCAATTTTCTGAGTGTATTTTTTCATAGATTTCGGCTTCAAATCTCAGAATAATTTAGTGTATGGAGTTTGGGGGGTCCCCACTGATCACTTAGACACAAAATCTCAACATAAAAATATTTCAAATTTCATCATTCTAGAACTAAGGCAGCTCCCTTGTGATTTTGATTTTTTAAAACTTTGAAGACCCATAATTTTTTTTCTATTATACATAGAATGCTGAAATTTTCAGCGATTTTTATCCCAGTGGAGGACTACAAACCCTGGAAATTTCCACTCATTTGGACTAATACCTAGTTCCTAAGAAAAAATCGCGTTAAGGAATTTGGGGTGAATTTTTAGATTTCGAACTCTTTATTTCATATATTTCGGCTTCAAATCCCGCAATAAATCACTGTATGGACTTTCTGGGATCCCAATTGATTGTTGAAAGTCAAAATCTCCTCACAAAAAAAATTGAAATTTGACAATTTCTGTCTATTTCTCCAATATAAAACTAATAATAATTAGTTGACCAATTCCTCCAGATGTTGTAATTATTCATACCTGAAATGCCGACAATACAATTCAAACTAGACACATAAAGTTAATGGCCCATTTTATTGTTTCCAAACTAGTTTATAATGAATATTAAATATCTTCTTTTACTGAAATATCCACTTTAACTGTAAATAAAGCACCTGACGCCTGTCGAAATGAAAATTAATTCCCATGACTAATACTTGTGCTAAATAAAACCGAAACAATTATGGTCAAAACCGTTTAAAACTCGCTCTTACCATTTGCAGCTATAACTTATGATTCCATTAAGTTGTTGATTTATTTTATTGCAGGCAAAACTTATTGTCAAGCCTGCAAGAAAAAGTGCTCGGGCGAAGTGCTGAGGGTCCAAGACAAATATTTCCACACTTCCTGCTTCAAGTGCAAAGCCTGCGGTTCTTCGTTGGCCCAGGGCGGATTTTTCAGTAAAGATGGTGCCTATTACTGTACTGCCGATTACCAAAGAAATTTCGGTACTAAATGCGCTGCTTGTGGAGATTATGTCGAAGGAGAAGTAAGGAATTGTTTCTGTTTATATTTATTTAATAAATTATTAATTGTTTTATAGGTTGTTACTGCTTTGGGCAAAACTTACCATCAAAAGTGTTTTACTTGTGCCAGGTGTAGGCAACCGTTTCCATCAGGCGAAAAAGTTACCTATACTGGTAAGGAAGTGCTTTGTCAAAAATGTGTTCAGATTCCTGTAAGAGATGCTACACCTAAAACTAGTCCTTCAACGATTAGTCCTTTGCCCAATGGTAAGAAATATTTTAGCTTTTAAAAATTTGACGTAGGTGTATTTTAAATCATTCAGTTGACTCTTTGAACTGTTCAAATATTATTGTCATGATTTAATTTGTGAAGATTGTTTTCTTGTTAAGTGTAATCTTAAGCCTACGCTTATTGTGGCTAATACTATTAATTATTTATTTTCTCAGAATGTGCTGGTTGCCGGGAAGACTTGAAAGAAGGTCAAGTTTTGGTGGCACTAGACAAAAGCTGGCACATTTGGTGCTTCAAGTGCCACTCGTGCGGCACCGTGCTACATGGCGAGTACATGGGCAAAGACGGAGTGCCGTATTGCGAGCGAGACTACCAGAAACAGTTCGGCGTCAAGTGCGCCTACTGTAATCGGTTTATTAGCGGTAAAGTTTTACAGGTGAGAAAATGTCATTTTTTTTCGAAGAAAGTTAATGTATTTCTGAAGAATTGTTCATCAAGAAATTGTTGATGTAAAACCTGCATCAATCAACATTTTGTTAGAATATATAAATACAACAATGTGTATCAAATTGGTTTTTTTTTTCTGCCAGACAATCGTTAGTTGGAATTTTGTTCTAAAACACCATTATTATTACGAAATTCTAATCGTCGAGTGAGTAAAGCGCTAAAAATAAACAAATTAAGCGATATAAGAGCGAGACCCATATATACACGTTATTTGAACTTAAAACTTTGCAAGGTGAATGATGTCACCGTTTAATTTAATTTACAAACTATATATTTGAGCTGCTGATTGTTTTTCTTGTCCAGGTTATGGAAGATTAGAAAAAAATATATTTTCTTAATTATTATTTATTTGTAGCATGATTATGCTGTTTTTTCAAGTTAATTGAATACAAAGGTTTTTTTTTTATTTCACAAATTTACGGTAAACCTAGGCACAAAAATGAAGGCCGATTTACATGTATCCAGTTACTGACATGCCAATTTTTGACTGGCAAGGCGCTGGATCCGAGTCCAGTCAATCATCAGTTTCCACTGCGGTATCCTATACTTGGAAGAAAAATAGACACAGTGAGACTGGCTCTAGCTACTGACTACATGTAAATCGGCCTTTAGTGTTGAAAACTCACTCTGGATATTTCAATTCTTTCCCATAAGTTGTGACATTTTGATAGCCAACTCAAAAACGTAATTTCCTCAAAAATAGTTTTACATATTATACTAATTCTAGGCTGGCGATAACCATCATTTCCATCCGACTTGCGCCAGATGTTCGAAATGCGGCGATCCGTTCGGAGATGGCGAAGAAATGTATTTGCAGGTAAATTGAATTTTCTTTTGTGAAAATTTTATCAAAATACTACAATGCCTAAACTCGTAATCTTAATGAAAAATCAAACAACTTAACTTGTTTTTTTATATTTTTTTTTTACTTGTTTTTGTTAACTTATTTTCCTTCTTTTTTTTTTCGTATTTCAACCTGCTTTTTTCACTTTATTTCTAATTTTTTGTTTTTCCATATCTCTTTTCTTTCGGCTAATTTTGTGTTTATTCCAGAATCCAGGCTCTTGAATTTTCTTCGTGTTTACCGTGATATTTTGCCTCACAAAAAAGAAGGAAATTTTTATTGGTTTTCTCTCAAATTTCAACCTTTATTCTATCAACTTGCAAAATTTCAATCCAATTTCTCACATATATTGTTCAAAAAATAAATAAATCGTCTCTCAATGTCGTTTTCTGTAAATTCGATTTTTTCCAAAATGACATCAACATATACAGGGTGTCCCAGGGAAAACAGTCCACCCCGATTTATTGGATTTGGGATGAGAATTTGAAAAAACGCTCGGACACGTCGATTTTTGATTTGAGGGGGAACTATTTTTCAGTTTTTTTCATCCCCGTAGTTTCAACCCCCTAGCTAGGGGGACAACAACCCCCCAAATTTGAATAGGGGATAGGGGTCATGTCATATCTCTTTTTAAAGGTCTCATCGAATTCTTTATGCCCCTAGAATTTCGTCTCATTATTTTTATCCGTAACGAAATGACAGCTTGTCAAAATATTGGAAATAGACTATTAGTTTTAGTGGGAGCAAAAGCGATACCTACGTCCCCTAATAAAAATACTTGAAATGAAGTTTTTTCTTATTATTATTAATGAGGTGTACACGAGAATTGTAAACTGTAGGTATTTTCACTCGTATTTTTATTAAGGGAGGTAAGTACCGCTTTTACTCCTAGATTCTCACCCCAAACCCAATAAATCGGGGTGGACTGTTTTCCCTGAGACACCCTGTATTTTGCCTCATAACTTTGTTAATTTCAATCCGATCTTAACGTAATTAGGCTTTCAATAGCCAATTAAATTCTCTACAAATCACTCTTTACTAGTTTCAATGCAGCTTCACTAGTTTCGCAGCTGCGCAGCTTCAAAGTTTTTAGACTCTGATTTTTATCAAGTTGAGTGAACAGATGGAAATTTTTATATTTTTTCCTTAAATTTCAATTATTTTTCTGTCAACTTTTAAAAATTTTAATCCAATCCCTCAAATATTTTCTTCAAGAAAAAATAAAAACGTCCTTCAATGTCGTTTGGTAATTTCCGAAGGACGGCTTTCCGAGATAAAATCGTGTTGAGCAATTTGGGGTGATTTATCAATTTTTCAATTTTTCTGAGTGCGTTTTTTCATAGATTTCAGCTTCAAATATGAGAATAATTTAGTGTATGGAGTTTGGGGGATGTTGTTTGACCATTAGGATACAAAGTCTCGACAAAAAAAAAAATTGAAATTTCATCGTTTTAGTAAGAAGGTACCTACCTTATGATTTAGATTTTGGAAAACTTTGAAAGGTCATAACTTTTTTTCAATTATAGATAGAAAGCTGAAACTTTTACTGAATTTTATCCCAATCAAGGGACTACAATCCCTGAAAATTTCAGCTCATTTGCACTTATGGTTCCTGAGATAAAATCGTGTTAGGTAATTTGGGGTGATTTATCAATTTTTCAGTTTTTCTGAGTGCCTTTTTTCATAGATTTCGGCTTCAAATCTGAGAATAATTTAGTGTATGGAGTTTGGGGGATGTTGATTGACCATTAGGATACAAAATCTCGACAAAAAAAAAATTTGAAATTTCATCGTTTTAGTAAGAAGGTACCTACCTTATGATTTAGATTTTGGAAAACTTTGAAAGGTTATAACTTTTTTTCTATTATAGATAGAAAGCTGAATCTTTCACTGAATTTTATCCCAATTAAGGGACTACAATCCCTGAAAATTTCAGCTCATTTGCACTTATGGCTCCTGAGATCAAATCGTGTTAAGCAATTTGGGGTGATTTATCAATTTTTCAGTTTTTCTGAGTGCCTTTTTTCATAGATTTCGGCTTCAAATCTGAGAATAATTTAGTGTATGGAGTTTGGGGGATGTTGATTGACCATTAGGATACAAAATCTCGACAAAAAAAAAATTTGAAATTTCATGGTTTTAGTAAGAAGGTACCTACCTTATGATTTAGATTTTGGAAAACTTTGAAAGGTTATAACTTTTTTTCTATTATAGATAGAAAGCTGAAACTTTCACTGAATTTTATCCCAATCAAGGGACTACAATCCCTGAAAATTTCAGCTCATTTGCACTTATGGCTCCTGAGATCAAATCGTGTTAAGCAATTTGGGGTGATTTATCAATTTTTCAGTTTTTCTGAGTGCCTTTTTTCATAGATTTCGGCTTCAAATCTGAGAATAATTTAGTGTATGGAGTTTGGGGGATGTTGATTGACCATTAGGATACAAAATCTCGACAAAAAAAAAATTTGAAATTTCATGGTTTTAGTAAGAAGGTACCTACCTTATGATTTAGATTTTGGAAAACTTTGAAAGGTTATAACTTTTTTTCTTTTATAGATAGAAAGCTGAAACTTTCACTGAATTTTATCCCAATCAAGGGACTACAATCCCTGAAAATTTCAGCTCATTTGCACTTATGGTTTCTGAGATAAAATCGTGTTAAGCAATTTGGGGTGATTTATCAATTTTTCAATTTTTCTGAGTGCCTTTTTTTCATAGATTTCAGCTTCAAATATGAGAATAATTTAGTGTATGGAGTTTGGGGGATGTTGATTGACCATTAGGATACAAAATCACGACAAAAAAAAAATTTGAAATTTTATCGTTTTAGTAAGAAGGTACCTATCTTAATATGATTTAGATTGTGGAAAACTTTGACTTGTATTTGTATTTAAAATGCTTTTCTATCCTAAATAGTAAAGGCTGTAGGTATGGGTCCAAATATAATCAAATACCCTGTACATTTTCATCCGAAATCTCGTGAAATTCTTTCGAAATCCTTTGGATTTCGAAATCTATTCGAAATAGCGAAGAACGAAATGCTATCCGAAATCCCAGCCGAAATTCTTCTGAAAGCCTGAAATCTCCATGGATTTATGGAAACCTCGAATTTCTTAAGCGACTGATACACTAGAGGAATAAGTTTCATGAAACTTGTTGGAAGAAACAGGAAATTTGTTTCATGACACATATTCAAATGAGGTGGCGCACACTGGTGAAACAATTTCTGCTCTCCTGTTTCAGACACTCCAATGTGCGCTGCCTCAATTGAATGTATGTGTCGTGTGATAATGAAACAAATTTCGTTGTTTCTCCAGTGTGTCACCTGCCTTAGTGGTACAGCGTTGAGAATCGAATATTCGAATTCTTTCGAAATCCTTTAAAAATTGTCGAAATCCCCAGCGATTTCCGAAATCGATGTACAAATTGTGGTGAATGAGCCGCCCCCCGTTAATTTCAATCCGTTCTTAACCTAATTAAACTTTAATTAAAGCCAATTAACTTCTCTACAAATCACTCCCTATTAGTTTCAATGCAGCTTCAGTAGTTTCGCAGCTTCAAAGTTTTTAGACTTCGATTTTTATCAAAGTTTTTTTTTCTTAAATTTCAATCTTTTTTTCCATCCACTAGCAAAATTTCAAATGTTGTTTCTTCAAAATCTAATTTTTTCCAAAATGACATCGACACACATTTTGCCTCACAACTTTCTCAATTCTAATCCAATCTTAACGTAATTAGGCTTTAATTGAATCCTTTATACACTCTTTACTCCGAACCCTCTCTCAAACAATCAAATTTTTCCAGAGTGGCTCCGTTTGGCACCCGAGATGCGGCCCGGGACCTCAAACCGAAGACGGTCGAATCCTGAACGGCCCCGAAAACGGCAACATCACCGACACCGACGTTAGTACCAAGGATTTCGATAGGCATAGTACTAGTGGTGCTAGCGAATTGCAAGTAAGAATTAGGACTAGTACTAGTTGGACTTTAATTTAGATAGATTATTATAATTTTTATCTAAGCAATTGGTACTTGTAGATAATTATTTGTGCAAATCTTAAATGATTAAGTAATTTTTATTTATTGTTGAGTTTTTCATTTGTGTGAATATTTCAATAATGGAGGCTAATAGTACTCCAGAATTGGATAAAATTGGAAAGCAGGTATTTACAATAATTCAACCCCAAAAAAAGTGCATTTTGGCTTCTATACCGGTCTGGCAGGTGAACATCTTACAGGCGAATTTTAATGCAAAAGAATGAAATGTCTAGAAAAAGTCTATGTCAAATAGAGAACGAAAACAATTTCCCCTGTTCCACCTTCTGCATTCCCAGTGCTGCGTGCTGGAGGTGGAACAGGGGAAATCGTTTCCGTTCTTTTTTAACCTTAGAATTTTTCTAGACATTTCACTCTATTGCATTGAAATTGGCATGCCTGACCTGTATGTACAATAATTATTATCATTATTTACTTAAGTAGATCTAGAATGTTGTCAATATCACATAAGCGTTTGAGTCTATTTATCATTTCATGATTTTATTTTAGCTTTTCTTATTTATTTTGCATGTATTTCTTTCAGTTTTCATATAGGTCACGCACCCCTAGTTTGAATGGCTCCTTGTATAGTCCTACAAGCATGCATAGAAAGGTTTGTTTTATTTATTTCTATTTTATTTTATTTGAATATACTCTGAAGAAAATTTGAATGTCTGAATTTAGGACTAGCGTTCTGAGAAGTGATACAAAAACGAGGGGTTAATCACTCCCGGAAATCATGTCACAAATTGGTCCGAAATCCTCGAAATCTTTCCGAAATTCTACCGAAATCCCCGAAATCTATGGAATTGCTCCGAAATTCGCCGAAATCCCTCTAAAATCTCTCAGAAATCTTTCTGACCTGAAATTCTCCAAAATCACCCGAAATCCTTCGAAATCTCCCAAAATCCTTCGAAATCAACCGAAATCCTTCATAATCGCTCTAAATCTGAAATCTTGTCACAGTGAATAATTTCTCGAAATCTTTCCGAAATCCTACCGAAATCACCCAAAATCTCTCAAAATCGCTCTAAATCCGAAATCTTGTCACATTTTTCCCTTAGTGATTAACCACTCGTACAAAAATGTCTCAGAATTGTCGATTTTTATAAATTATGATAGTAATTCAATTAATACTGCCATGCCACTGAATTCCTTTAAGTATAAAATATGTTATTTTCTGTCTAGCATTATAATCACAGCACGTACAGGACGCCATCGCCAGGCCTAATACTGCGCGAATACAACAAATCCGGTACCCTAGCCGACGACATTTCTAGGATTTACACGTATAGCTACCTGACAGACGAACCGTCTTTAGGATACCTAAAAAAACCCATCGACCCTTATGATAGAGCCCCAATTTCGCCCCACTTCCATCGACCAACATGTACGCTTTATATTATATTCGTATAACAAAATCTGCAATTTTTTACTTTTCTAGCACAAACTTCTCTAAGATCCTCCACTGGAGCGGGAGGTAAAAGATACGGTTCCCGCTCTGCCATGAAGGTTCTTGTTGATTCAATTAGAACCGAAACTCCTCGGCCAAAGTCTCCTCACATGAACAATGAAGAACCAATCGAATTGAGTCATTATCCTGGTGCCAAGCCTCCACTACCTGGCGAACCTCTTAAAATCGAAAGGGATGATTTTCCTGCGCCGCCTTATCCTTACACTGATCCAGGTAACTTTTTGTTGTAAACAATGAAATTTTAGTTGATGAATAATGATTTTAGAGCGCAGAAAAAGATGGTCAGATTCTTACAAAGGAGTACCCGATTCCGATGACGATGAAGTAGACGGTAAGTTAGCGAAAGAGGTTGAAGATGTCAAGCTGAAAAAAGAAGAAGAAGAGCTCAGTAAAATGGGCAGTGGAATTGGAAAGGTGTTTTTGAAAAACGTTAAAGAGAGGGAAAAGTTTAAGCAGTGGAAAGCAGTCAATTTGGATCCAAGAAATGCTTCAAGGTAATTGTTTCATAATAATGTGAGCTCAATTAAAAACTGTCTTTGTTATTTTAGGACCCCTTCAGCCAACAAAGAACCAGTTTACAGGCTCCGGTACGATAACCCTTTAGGCGCCAGCCCTTCTCGTAATTTGGACCATTCTCGTCCTTTTGATGAAGACGAATATGACAGGTCTTTCAGTTGTCGTTCTTCATCGATGAGCCGTCCTAGTGGATGGAATTATAATGGTAAGAATAAGGATTCTATTATGGTTTCTGAGTTTGAGGGTGTATTAGTAATTGATATATAACCTGAAAGAAATGGGTATTATAGAAGCTCTTTAAGGTTACAAGTCAGTGGGTATTAATTGTGCAGGAAATTTGTTATATTATCCCCATGAGAAATTATCAAATATGGGGTATTTTCTAGTACTAGACACGAAATTTAATTTTTAGCTTCTATGGGCCAAAAAATAACAATAAAGGTAAATTGAATGGGTGTATCAATATTTTTTGCATGCACTGTTTAATGTTACACTATAAGGACCAACACTTACTCAATTATTATTTCAATTTTCCTTCCTATATACTTTCACCCCAATTATTTATTATTTAAAAAGCATGCTTTTTATTTTTGTTACCTCCTTATTTTTTTTTGCATTTTTGTGTGCCGTACAACAGTAGTGTCCTCACTTAGAATGGTACCAAAACCCGGTTACGGATTGAAAGCCAATACCTTGCCAAGTGGAAACGGATATGTAAGTATAAAAAAGAGAAGACTTCTTGGTAGCTCTGGAGTGAATGCGTAATGGGGTCAATGAATGATTAGTTTCTACTTTAAATATAATATTGATTCATAAGGTTTTTGTTGTCAGTTGTGAGTGCACTGAGAAACATTCCGAAACCAGGATACGGTTTGGCCCCTCGATCTCATACTTTTTCATCGTCAGCCGGTAGCTACTCTCATATCCCTGTAAGTTTTATCCCTAATAACAGAGAACTGTGTGATTTTATTTTATTTTTAAATTGTCAGAGATGCCCAATAATTGGGGATTTATCCATTTTGTTTTTCGTTTTAATTTTGTTGTGCTAATTTTGATTTTCTGTGGACACTAACTTTTGACAGTTGATTACATTTTGGTATGATGGGTTGTTTTGATGATTTAGGTGTGCATGTCTGTGTAGTTATTTTACAGCCATATTCACTAGGAAATGTACTGGACGATTCTACATGTTAATAGATCAAATTTTGATTATTACCGGCTCTTGATTACCTCTGGTAAAAATCAAAATTTGGATTGTTAATGTCTCATACATTGACCTCTTTTTCCAAAAATGACACTTAGACAGTTTTTGGCTTACAGCTTAAGCTCCAACTAAAGCCAATTAAATTCTCTACAAACCTTTTGATTAAGATTTCAATTTTGTTTCAACACTTTTGCACCTGAGAAGGTTCAAAATTGAATTTACCGAACATTGAAAATTTCCGAAAAATGAGACACTTTTTGCCTTGAAAATACAGTCTCACACATTTCAAAGTTTTCCTGGAAAACTAGTAAAGGGCAAAATTTGGAACTTTTTACATGTGAAGAGAAAAGTTAGAATCTCATTTTCCCAAAATTTCAAATTTTTTTAGTGAGTGATAACAACATGAAGAATCTTGGAAATTAACCTAAAATAACTGAATTAATTGAAAATACAGTCTCACGCATTTCTAAGGTTTTCTGAAAAACTAGTGAAGGGAAAATTTTGAAACCCTCTACATGTGAAGAGGAAGATTAGAGGCTCATTTTCCCAAAATTTCAAATTTTTCCAGTAAAAAATAACAACATGAAGAATTTTGGAAATCAACCTACAATAACTGAATTAATTGAAAATACAGTCTCACACATTTCAAAGTTTTCCTGGGAAACTAGTAAGGGGAAAAATTTGAAACTTTTTACATGTGAAGAAAAAGACTAGAGGCTCATTTTCCCAAAATTTCAAATTTTTCCTGTGGAAAGTAACAACATGAAGAATTTTGGAAATCAACCTACAATAACTGAATTATTAGCAAATACAGTCTCACACATTTCAAAGTTTTCCTCCACTAGTGAAGGGAAAAATTTGAAACTTTTTACATGTAAAGACAAAGGTTAGAGGCTCATTTTCTCAAAATTTCAATTTTTTCCAGTGGAAAATAACAACATGATGAATCTTTGAAATCAACCTACAATAACTGAATTAATTGAAAATACAGTCTCACACATTTCAAAGTTTTATTGGAAAACTAGTGAAGGGAAAAATTTGAAACTTTCTACATTGGAAGGGGAAGGTTAGAGGCTCATTTTCCCAAAATTTCAATTTTTTTCAGTGGAAAATCACAACATGACGAATCTTGAAAATCAACCTACAATTAAAAAAAGGTTTCCTGGAAAAGTAGTGAAGGGAAAAATTTGAAACTTTTTACATGTAAAGACGAAGGTTAGAGACTCATTTTCCCAAAATTTCATTTTTTCCAGTGGAAAATAACAATATGAGGAATCTTGAAAATCAACCTACAATAACTGAATCAATTGCAAATACAGTCTCACATATTTCAAAGTTTTCCTGGAAAAATTTGAAACTTTTTACATGTAAAGACGAAGGTTAGAGGCTCATTTTCTCAAAATTTCAATTTTTTCCAGTGGAAAATAACAACATGATGAATCTTGGAAATCAACCTACAATAACTGAATTAATTGAAAATACAGTCTCACACATTTCAAAGTTTTATTGGAAAACTAGTGAAGGGAAAAATTTGAAACTTTCTACATTGGAAGAGGAAGGTTAGAGGCTCATTTTCCCAAAATTTCAATTTTTTTCAGTGGAAAATCACAACATGACGAATCTTGAAAATCAACCTACAATAAAAAAAAGGTTTCCTGGAAAAGTAGTGAAGGAAAAAATTTGAAACTTTTTACATGTAAAGACGAAGGTTAGAGGCTCATTTTTCCAGTGGAAAGTAACAACATGAGGAATCTTGGAAATCAACCTACAATAACTGAATTAATTGAAAATACAGTCTCACACTTTTCAAAGTTTTATTGGAAAACTAGTGGAGGCAAAAATTTGAAACTCTCTACATTTGAAGAGGAAGGTTAGAGGCTCATTTTCCCAAAATTTCAATTTATTTCACTGGAAAATTACAACATGACGAATCTTGGAAATCAACCTACAATAACTGAATCAATTGCAAATACAGTCTCACACATTTCAAAGGTTTCCTGGAAAACTAGTGAAGGGAAAAATTTGAAACTTTTTACATGTAAAGACGAAGGTTAGAGGCTCATTTTTCCAAGAATTCAATTTTTTCCAGTGGAAAATAACAACATGAGGAATCTTGGAAATCAACCTACAATAACTGAATCAATTGAAAATACAGTCTTACACATTTCAAAGTTTTCCTGGAAAACTAGTAGAGGGAAAAAATTTGAAACTTTTTCAATGTGAAGAGGAAGGTTAGAGGCTCATTTTTCCAAAATTTCAATTTTTTTCAGTGGAAAATAACAACATGAGGAATCTTGGAAATCAACCTACAATAACTGAATAAATTGAAAATACAGTCTCACACTTTTCAAAGTTTTATTGGAAAACTAGTGGAGGCAAAAATTTGAAACTTTTCACATGTGAAGAGAAAGGTTAGAGGCTCATTTTCTCAAAATTTCAATTTTTTACATTGGAAAATAACAACTTTAAGAATCTTGGAAATCAACCTACAATAACTGAATCAATTGAAAATACAGTCTTACACATTTCAAAGTTTTCCTGGAAAACTAGTAGAGGGAAAAAATTTGAAACTTTTTACATGTGAAGAGGAAGGTTAGAGGCTCATTTTTCCAAAATTTCAATTTTTTTCAGTGGAAAATAACAACATGAAGAGTCTTGGAAATCAACCCACAATAACTGAATTAATTGAAAATACAGCCTCACGCATTTCAAAGTTTTCTTGGAAAACTAGTAAAGGGAAAAATTTGAAACTTTTTACATGTGAAAAGGAAGGCTAGAGGTTCATTTTCCTGAAATTTCAAATTTCTCCAGTACAAAATAACAACATGAAGAATCTTGGAAATCAACCTCCAAAAACTGAATTAATTGAAAATACAATTTCACACATTTCAAAGTTTTCCTGGAAATCTAGTATAGGGAAAAATTTGAAACTTTTCACATATGAAGATGAAGGTTAGAGGCTCATTTTCCCAAAACTTCAAATTCTGTCAGTGAAAAGTAACAACATGAAGAATCTTGAAAATCAACGTATAAACTGAATTAGTTGAAAATACAGTCTCACACATTTCAAGGTTTTCCTGGAAAACTAGTGAAGGGAGAAATTTGAAACAGCTCCCTAATTATAATTTGATTTCAATGTAATTAAGCTTGTAATTCTCTACAAACCTGTTAATTTATCCCAAAAATGTCCACACTACATGAGCTCTGAGACCTAGAGAAAACTTCATTTTTCTACAGACAATCAAGAGCCGGTAATAGTCAAAATTTTTAACTGTTGATTGACTCTAGACTCTAGACTCATAATGATTTCCAATTTACTAGTTCTCATAACTCTCACACCTCTCAAACTAAATGTCTATCATGATTTAACAAGCAGAATTTGGATTTTTCCTTATTGGAAACCTTTTACAGATTCATTTTGTCGTGACTACTGAAAACTTTTTGAAGCAAAAATATCCTTATTTGCAAACAATTTGAATCTTAGACACCACAATACAATAGTCTTTTAAAGTTTCATCAATCTCCTGTCAATGAAAATTCTATGGTGAATATGGCCAATTTGAGCATGCTAGGGTTTATTTTAATAAAAACTTCATATATGAATGTTAATTGTGTGTCGATTTTATGTTTAATTTTATATTTATAAATGCAAAATTGGAACAAATATAATTTTGAAAAGGCCAATTATATTTGTTCAAGTAGAATTTGAATTTATATAACTTAAAATATCTATCCACAGGGCGACTATACATATACCGGAATGGGTGTAAAAACCCACAGCACCGATTTTAGTTCCGGAAAATCAGACAGTGAGTATTCTATTGATGGCTTTGTTGAATGCTTTTTTTTTTATAGATTTAGTAGTTTTTATTTTTTTGAAAAATTGTTGAAGGTACAGGATAATGATGGGACTAATAATAATTCTAACTCGGCATGATTTTTGTATTTATTTGTAAAAAAAAAAATAGCTTTTAAAATTAATAAAAAAGAACCACTAAAGCCGTTGCTTTTTTCCTCAGTTTCCACCGGATCCATCACGGATGTCGAAACGCGAATGGTATGTAAATAATGCTTATTTGGTGTTCTTATGTTTTGTGCCATACTAATCATCATTACATGCTTGCATCCTATTTCAAATGCTTTTATAATTAGTTTAGTGACAGCTATAAACTTTTTCAATACATGGTTTCCTTAGCTGGTGTGTCTCATATTCATATATATCAAAAAAAAAAAATATAATTATATTAATGTGGTTGTTGTTATTCAGCACTCGGAAATGGGTCCAGTGTCGTACGCGGTGGGCCGTTACGGGGGGGTCCAGAGAGGGTACGGGGGGTCTCAGGTGAGACGCAGCTTGCCCAACATGGCCCATCAAATGCTGATCAACGAACCGGCCAAGATTTACCCTTACCATCTGCTGGTCATTACCAATTATCGGCTGCCGGCCGATGCTGATAGATTAAACTTGGAGGTAAGCAAAAATTAATGATACACTTATAATGAGCTAGATAGTACCTAATCAAAGGAACTATGTACTTTGTAGAGTTTTATTCTAATTGATGATTGTATCAATGAATGTTTGTAGGTGATTATAGGTCAAATTATAGGGACACTTTTGTAAAGTTTTAAGTTTAAAGCCTAATTTCTCAAAGCCTAGAGAATCAATTGATTTCATAGTTGGAGGTTTTATAGAGAATTTAATTCTCTTTCAGAAAATCTATAATTGAAGTTGATTTGTTGAGAGTTACCAGAACTATGAGCAAATATCTGAAGCCATGTCAAAATTCTGAAATCAAAATTGAGATTTTCTCTAATTTTTTCTCATAAAACTACCCTGTTCAGAATAATGTGGGTTATGTTTTCAGCTAATTTTAACCTCCTCTTTCGATTGAAAAAGTCAAATTTTGAAAAATATGAAAATTCGAAATTTTTGATTTTTCAGCCTACTCCCTTTGGATTTTTTATTCAAAATCTTCAATTGGCAATATCTAGGTAACCATGGAAGGTATCCAATCAAATTTTCTAGAGATTGTAGCTGTCATTGGATACTTCAATACTTCATTTACTAAATATTTATATCACTTATGGTTTTTGAGTTTTTTGATCTTGAAGTTTTTGAGAAAATTTCAGTAAAGTTTCAAGTTTAAAGCCTAATTTCTCAAAACCTAGAGAATCAACTAATTTCATTGAATTTTCTATTTTCTCATTGAGTAAATGCTCCAATATAATTTTAAATTAAGTGGACTGTATTTCTTTAAGTGCAAAATTTGACGAACAATAGACATTAATTTTTTTTTTTAAATTCTTATTGTTATATGAGTTTTGTAAAGTTTCAAGTTTAAAGCCTTATATCTCGAAGCCTATAGAATCAACTAATTTCGTTTTTGGAAGTTTTATAGAGAATTTAATCCTCTTTCAGAAAATCTATAATAGAAGTTGATTTGTTGAAAATTACCAAAACTGGGAGCAAATTTCTGAAGCCATGTCAAATTATAGGAAAATTTCTCAGATCAAAATTTAGATTTTCTTTTACGTTTTTTGGTCTCATAAAACTACCCTTTTCAAAATAATGTGGGATATGTTTTCAGCTAATTTTAACCTCCTCTTTCGATTGAAAAAGTCAAAATTTGAAAAATATGAAAATTCGAAATTTTTGATTTTTCAGCCTACCCTCTTTGGATTTTTTATTCAAAATCTTCAATTGGCAATATCTGGGTAACCATGGAAGGTATCCAATCAAATGTTTCAAAGATTGTAGCTCTCAATGAGTACTTCAATACTTTATTTACTAGATATTTATATCATTTATGGTTTTTGAGTTTTTTGAACTCGAAGTTTTCGACAAAATCTCAGTAGAGTTTCAAGTTTGAAGCCTAATTTCTCAAAGCCTATAGAATCAATTAATTCCATATTTGCAGGTTTTATCGAGAATTTAATTCTCTTTCAGAAAATCTATAACACAATTTGATTCATTAAGAATTACCACAACTGTGAGCAAATTTCTGGAGCCATGTTAAATTATAGGAACATTTCTGTGATCAAAATTGAGATTTTCTTTTAAATTTTTTTGTCTCATAAAACTACCCTTCTCAAAATAATGTGGGTTATGTTTTTAGCTAATTTTAATCTCCTCTTTCGATTGAAAAAGTCAAAATTTGAAAAATATGAAAATTCGAAATTTTTGATTTTTGAGCCTACCCCTTTAGATTTTTAATTCAAAATCTTCAATTGGTAATATCTGAGTAACCATGAAAGGTATCCAATAAAATTTTTCAGAGATTGTAGCACTCATTGAGTACTTCAATACTTTATTTACTAAATATTTATATCACTTATGGTTTTTGAGTTTTTTAATTGGAAGTTTTTGACAAAATCTAATTAGAGTTTCAAGTTTGAAGCCTAATTTCTCAAAGCCTATAGAATCTACCAGTTTCGTTTTTGGAGGTTTTATAGAGAATTTAATCCTCTTTCAGAAAATCTATAATACAAGTTGATTCGTTGAGAATTACCAAAACTGTGAGCAAATTTCTAAAGCCATGTCGAATTATAGGAAAATTTCCGAGATCAAAATTGAGATTTTCTTTGAATTTTTTTTCTCATAAAACTACCCTTTTCAAAATAATGTGGGATGTTTTCAGCTAATTTTAACCTCCTTTTCCGATTGAAAAAGTCAAAATTTGAAAAATATAAAAATTCGAAATTTTTGATTTTTCAGCCTACCCCCCTTTGGATTTTTTATTCAAAATCATCAATTGACAATATCGGGGTAACCATGAAAGATATTCATTCAAATTATTCAAAGATTGTAGCTCTCATTGAGTACTTCAATACTTTAATCACTAACTATTTATATCACTTATGGTTTTTGAGTTTTTCGATATCACTTATGGGTTTTGAGTTTTTCGAATTTGAAGTTTTTGAGAAAATTTCAATAAAGTTTCAAGTTTGAAGCCTAATTTTTCAAAGCTTATAGAATCAACCAATTTCGTTTTTGGAGATTTTATAGAGAATTTAATCCTCTTTCAGAAAATCCATAATACAAGTTGATTCGTTGAGATTATCAAAACTGTGAGCAAATTTCTGAAGACATGTCAAATTATAGGAAAATTTCTGGGTTCAAAATTGAGATTTCTTTTTTCTCATAAAACTAAACTTTTCAAAATAATGTTGGATATGTTTTCAGCTAATTTTAACCTCCTCTTTCGATTGAAAAAGTCAAAATTTGAAGAATATGAAAATTCGAAATTTTTGATTTTTCAGCCTACCCTTTGGATTTTTTATTCAAAATCTTCAATTGGCAATATCTGGGTTACCATGAAAGATATCTAATCAAATTTTTCAGAGATTGTAGCTCTCATTGAGTACTTCAATACTTTATTTACTAACTATCCATATCACTTATGCTTTTTGAGTTTTTTGAACTTGAAGTTTTTTACAGAATCTCGGTAGAGTTTCAAGTTTGAAGCCTAATTTCTCAAAGCCCATAGAATCAACTAATTTCATTTTTGGACGTTTTATAGAGAATTTAATCCTCTTTCAGAAAGTCTATAATACAAGTTGATTCGTTGAGAACTACCAAAACTGTGAGCAAATTTCTAAAGCCATGTCGAATTATAGGAAAATTTCGCGAATTTTTTTTCTCATAAAAGCAAATATCTCAAGCCATGTCAAATTTCTGAAATCAAAATTGAGATTTTCTTTTACATTTTTTTGTCTTATAAAACTTCCCATTTCAAAATATTGTGGGTTACGTTTTCAGCTTATTTTAACCTCCTCTTTCGATTGAAAAAGTCAAAATTTGAAAAATATGAAAATTCGAAATATTCGATTTTTCAGTTTTTGGATTTTTTATACAAAATCTTCAATTGGCAATATGTGGGTAACTACGAAAGGTATCCAATCAATTTTTTCAGAGATTGTAGCTCTCATTGAGTACTTCAATACTTTATTCATTAAATATTTATATCACTTATGGTTTTTGAGTTTTTTTAATTTAAAGTTTTTAGAAAATTTCAGTAAAGTTTCAAGTTTGAAGCCTAATTTCTCAAAGTCTATAGAATCAACCAATTTCGTTTTTGGAGGTTTTATAGAAAATTTAATCCTCTTTCAGAAAATCTATAATACAAGTCGATTCGTTGAGAATTACCAAAACTGTGAGCAAATATCTGAAGCCATGTCAAATTTTTCAAATCAAAATTGAGGTTTTTTTTCTTTCGAATTGCTGCAAAGTGTTCAGAGTTACTTTTCAAGCTTCTGAAGTAATTTCCAGAGTAGGAAATACTATCTAACATAAAATTCCCCATTGGACATTTCCTCTGTACTTATTTAATGTACGCAATGGCTTCTGGGCAACATTTCATATTTGAAGGCAGAATATTTAACGCATTTTGCTCTGTCTAACCTAATGTATATTTTTGCAAAATCATTTCAATGAATGATTCTTTCTCAAAAAAGGTTTATGAACACAAGATAGTGTTAGCAATCACCACTAATTTAATTTCTTCTTTTTTTCCAGCGTCACTTGTCAGACCAAGAATTCGAAGCGCTATTTCAATTGGCCAGATCCGACTTTTACAGGTTACCGCAATGGCGCCGAAACGAAATAAAACGTAGAGCGAGGCTTTTCTAATCTAATAATTATTGGTTATTATTTTTGGTTAAGGTGTAGCTTAAAGAAAAAAAAATATAATATAAAACTTCTCTCTTATTTAAGTAGAATTACCAATTGGGAGCTATATATGTATATTTTGTTTAGTAATAGAAGCTTTAAAAAAAATTGCAGCTGCTTCATATAAAGACAATAAAAAGTGTGTAGGTACAGGGTGTTAAGTTATAAAGTATGTAACTTTTCCCTTGTAACTTTTTTATTTATTTTTGATCATACATAAAAAAGTTACAGGGGGTGGTACTTTATAATTTGACACCAGGTACATCTTCAAATATAAAATAATAACTGCACTGCCCTAAGGACACCTTTTTTTTTTCGCTTATAACGCTGTACATTTTATAGAAACAAATTTATACAATTAATAATTGAACACCTCAATGTGTCTTCTGTAACACTTTTGCATTTATAGTATAATAGGTTATTGATTAGGGGGGTGCTGCAGCTACAATGATGATTATTATTTTTTTGAAGCCCATAATTAAGTTCCTCCATTTTTCGATGTTTTTACTAATTTATGACAATTCCAAAATTATTTGAATAATGATAAGACAGCTATTATAATGTATCTATTTGAAAAAAAAAAAACAAAATACTTTAAAATAGATATTTTTCTAGGTCATAAGTTTAAAGTAGTTAGGTTATTATTATGAAGAAAAAAAAAAATGCTTTATAGAATGCTTTACTTGGGCTAGTCTGAATTTTGGAAGCTTTAAAGCTCAAAACATGTTCAATTGATATTTAAAGTTTTGGCTTTAAAGTAACTTAGCGCAATTCACATAGAGGCTTATATTTTTATATCTTTTTGAAACTGGAGCTCGTAATAGTCTATGGTATAAAGGTATGTTCTCACAAATCAATAATTTTTCTTGGTCCACCTAAATTAAAAAATTTGTACTCTAAAGAATAATTCAATGATCTTTCAAACAGTCGATAGACATGAAATTTTGGGTTTTGTGTCCATAGAATCATGACTGAAGGCTTTAGAATCTTCAAACTCTTCAGTGTAAGTCTTGGACTATAATTATTCATTCAAATTCAATTTTTTACTAAGACCTTGTACAAACAACAGCTATTGAAAAAATGCCTCAAGAAAAATCGATTGGTGAGAAATTACCACAGGAAAATATTGTGAATCAAAAAAAAAAAAATCTCCTTGGGTTATACCAAAGTAACTGTGGTTATACTTTTTCTGTGTTGCAGAATATTCTTTTTGAAACTTCCACTCAAATTTCTTTTTGAATAGTAAAAATGGCAATATTGCATTTCTAACCAATCTGGTATTTGTTTGCTCTTTAAAGGTGTAAAAATTTGTTCTATTTATGTATTTTTATTTCATCATGTTTAGAGTGCGACATATTTGTTGATATTTATATGCAATAACAATTATTTCAAGTAAATTGTAATTTGTGTTTCTATTATACCTGTAATTTGATAATAATTCTAATCTAGATTGACCAAAATGTTAAATGTTAAAATCTCGACATGGAAAAATTTGAAATTCCAACATCTTTGAAGGAAGGTATATCCCATTCACAATCCATAGTCCAAAGGTGAAGGTAAATTTATCACCTTTCCCTATCAAAAACGACGGACAATAGGTATTGCTCTGCGACAGTAGGTAATCTGAAATTTTCAGAATATCATATTCTAGCGATTCTAAAGATAAAATCCAGCTGAAGAAAAAAAGGAAATTTTATTCATTTTTCAAAGTTACAAAATACTAGAAAATTCTAAACAAACTTATCAGTTAAGTAAGTATAAGTACCTATACAAACTACAAAATTAAAATTTGTATTTTAAATTTAAGAAAAATAAGTTTTAAATTCTAACAAAAGTCTTGATGAAGCCTCTAAATCATGTCTGAAACGTATTGTATTATAAGCTTTTTGTAGTTTTTATTATTTTTTTCACAAGCCTCATGTTTCCCACAAAAAGACGTCATCGACAAATCAAGAACCCTAGAAGTATTATTATACAAATTATTACTTCGAATTGAAGGGCCAGCCAAAAACATTCTAAACGACGCATCTTTATTTAATACGTCAATTCCATCGATTAGAACTTTTATATCTTGTTCAGTGAAATGTACGAGAACGCGATACAAATCTTTTTTGGCTAACCAAAAAAATTCTTCAGTTTTATATTTGTCCAGCTCCAATCTTCTTCGGACAAATAGTCTTGGTATAACAGCGTGCCAATGTTGAATGAGCCTTGGAGTAGAGAAAACTGTCTCATTGCAGTTCTCCAGAGGACATTTGTATGGTCTTTTTGGGCACTGTATTTTATGAGCCAAATAACGCATAATTTTAACATTTACATCACAATCGGCATATTCGCAGGCAACCTCGAAATCTAAATCCTTCAAATTTTTATATTCTCTTGTAGTGTGGCAATGCTTGCAAATAGTTTCCAAACAATTTTCACAATAAAAATGAAGATTTTCACAGTAGTACATGTCCGTGGCAAATTTTTGTTTGCACGTGCCGCATTTGAAAAATGCAGCAGAGATTAACTTGATTATTTTAGTGGCACGGTGATACGATTCGTTTTTATGCTGTGCTTGGGCTGAATTGTTTCCTCCAGTGCGCAGAACGTCCAAGCATTTTTGGATTTCAATGTCTTTAGTTTCTACCATTGAAACTTGACAACACAAAGTACTATCCATGCCAAAAATCATTTCGAGGTATTTTGTTGCCTTTTCGAAAGAGTAGTAGGGGGAATTCTCATGGAGCCATAGGTAATCAGTCAAAGCAGATACGCAATCCAATGGATCTGTGACTTTGAAAAATTTGATCGCGAAATGTTTGGCTTTGAAACTTTGGTGTTCCGCCTGAATAAGAACTTTGACAAGTTTTTTGGTAATTCCAAAGCCAAGGACGTATAAATTGTCATTGAGTAAATAGAGTAGGTTATGCTGTGGAAAGGTTTTCTTATATTCAGTTTCGGATAAGGAAAATTGAATTTTTCCATCAATGGTAATATTTTTTGGATGAAACTTTAAGGCGTGGTTTAGGTTTTGAGCGAGACTTCCTGAAAATGAACAGAGGAGAGACTTTTCAGACTCATAGTTGCAGTTGACTTCATGATTTCGCATCTCTGCTAGAGACAGCTGCTCGTTGCATCCGTTCATGTGATTTGTGCATTTGAATTTCAGTCTGAAAAAGGCAAATAAAGCAGCTTTGAATAAATTACAAATTATTATGTACCCTTGTGCCAGTATGTTATAAAAGGACTTGGTCTGCACTTTATTGACGTTGCATCTTCCGCAAATTGATTTTCCTCTAGCATCGATGGTTATAGGACCAACAGAAAGGTACTGGAAACAATCCTGACAGACTTGAGCACGCAAAACTTCATCAGATATATCTAGCAGGGCTGGTTCATCTGCAACTAGAAATAAATTTTATGTTGAAATAATTTCCTCAATTTTGGATTTATGTACTCAACAGAACACGTACTTTTTCAGTTAAAGGAAGGCTGAACAGGGCATTAATTTTGACTTTTCTCTGTATATTTGGAGAAAACGAAAATAGCAGTTTGATGTAACTTTTTCCGTAGAATTTAAAAATGTTGCGCCGTTCCTTGAGTTTTCCTCAGACCTTGAGAAAGCCTTGAATTTTTAGAATTGACATGACTAATTTGTCAAATAGTAGCAATAGTGTCCATTCTAAACTCACGACCTCCAAGGAAGACTCAAGGAACCACTATAAATTCGGTCCGTAGGTAGCTCTTTTGTTTAAGATCCAAGTAACATTTTGAAATCCTACGGAAAAAGTTAAATCAAACTACTATTTTCGCTTTTCTCTAAAAATACAGGGAAAGTCAAAATTAAGGCTGTGTTCCCTGTCATTTCAAATGTGTCCCTGATATCCACACACGAGTCAAACGATATTTAAGTTTGTTAGACGTTTGTTTACGTCTTCAAGGCGTCTTGGAGACATTTGAAGACGTATGTTGCAAAATTCAAAATGATCTAACGTCTTTCAAACGTTTGCCTATAGAGTCGTTTTCTGGACTAATATTTCATTATTATTACTTAGTTATTACTACTCATTTTATAAGTCGATTTTTGTCTTTTTCAAGAGCTTTGGGAATTGTAAATCGGTTTTTGAATGTTTTGGAGCATTCTAAAATGGCTCTGAAATTTCCAAATTATACTGAAACGCCACAGAATACTTTTGGAAATTTTGAATTGAGATGTCCACAAACGACATTCAAGACGTCTTACATCTTTAAGATGTCCAAACACACCTTGACCTTGAAGCCTTTCAGACGTCTGCCTAAAGTTGTCTTTAGGACAAGACATTTTCAAGACGTCTTCAACGAGATATCCCAAAGACGTCTTTGATTCTCTTTCTAATACATGAACCCATTATCCACTTTCAGGCCTAGTTGTACCAAATAGTTGTCTTTTGAGATGTGAATTTACGATATCATCTGGACATTTTTAAAATTTAAAGCAACATGATCTGTGGCAACGTCGTCTATATAGACGTCTTTTTTTGGTTTTCAGACGTTCCGCAAAAGCAGAAAAAAATATTTTTTCTACTACCGTGCGTAAAGTGCTCACTTTACGCACTATTCAGAAGACGTAAAATTTCTCTTCACACACTAGTGCGTAATAGTATTTTACATTATTAGCCAGGTAAAACAGTTTTTACTGGCGATTGAAGGAAATGACTAGCGAGCCGCCAGGCGAGCTTGTCACCTTCAAGAGCCAGTAAAAACTGCTACCTGGCGTATAATGTACAATAATTTATTTGTTACTCATTTGTAAAAGATATAGGGACAAATAAAAAATCAATACATAACAAAAATTTGAAATTTATATGTTTTTCCTTGATTTTTTCTCACAGAAGTTTTGGTAGTTGGTATAACTATGAGAATGATACGTTGTTAAGACGTTGTTTCTAGTTATAAATAGGTTTTTTGACAGATTTCCATTTTGCATTTTTTTTCCAGAAATGAATTTATTACAAGATATTATTAATGAAGCCTCAGTCGTAGCCAACAGTTTATCACCAGAAAAGTCTCTCAGAAGGTACCTACAAGCAATTATTCTTGTGATAAAACCGATTTTTCAAAAATAAATAATTCTACTGACTTGTAAAAAGTTTTTACAGTTTAGCTGTCAATTTTACAAGTCAGTAGAGCCAGTAGCTTGTAAAAATCAATTTTCGCTGGTTATGTTTTGACTTGATAAGTGACGTTTTACAAATGAGTGACAAATAAAGTAATTTACTTCACACTAGTGCGTAAAGAAATGTCAATGACAGATGTCAACACTGTCAAATTACTATTTTTCTGGTAAATTACTTCACGCACTAGTGCGTACAGTGAGAATACTTTACGCACTAGTGCGTGAAGAATTTGATTAAATTTATTTTTTCACACATATTTGATAGGTAGTAGAAAAAATTTTGTATGCAATACGTGCGTAAAGCACCTTTTTTCACTCATGTAATAGTCGCACTCGCCTTCGGCTCGTGCGTCAAAATTCACATTCGTGAAAAAAGCTCAACTTTACACACTTGTTGCATAAATAACTATTTTCTACTACCGTGCGTAAAGTACTCACTTTACGCACTATTCAGAAGACGTATAATTTCTCTTCACGCACGCGTAAAAAAATTGTCTAAATTTATTATTTTACATATATTTGATTGGTAGTAGAAAAAAAAAATTGTGTGCAATACGTGCATAAAGCGCCTTTTTTCACTCATGTGATTGTCGCACTCGCCTTCGGCTCGTGCGCTTGCTTCAAAATTCACATTCGTGAAAAAGGGTTCACTTTACACACTTGTTGTATAAATAACTATTTTCCACTACCGTGCATAAAGTACTCACCTCGGTACTTGCACTTCACACACTAGTGAATTAATTTACGCACTAGTGCGTAAAGTAATTCACTCTACCTACACACTATAGTGCTTCACACACTATAGTGCTTCACGCACTACACATATTTTACTGGTAGTAGAAAAAATTTTGTATGCAATACGTGCGTATATAAAGCACCTTTTTCTACGAGCGTGCGGAAAGCATTTTAGGTCATGAAAGTATCACTTTTCTGCACTAGTGATTTTCCGTTTTTTTCGTGATTACTTTTCCGCACGGACTGCGGAAAAATAGAATACCTGAAACTTTTAGGTATAGAGGTAGATGCAGGTAAACAGGTATAATGCAGGTACAGGTACACAAAAGGGAAAATATATTTCTTAAATTGATAAATATGTACCTACCTAGGTAAAAATATTACCTTCCATCTCGTAGAAAAAAGTGTTCCTAACTTGTGCGGAAAGTCTGTTTTCCGCACTACATTCGCGTGCGGAAAAGTGGTACTTTCCACACTAGTTAGGAAATATACTATTTTCCACTCATGTGATTGTCGCACTCGCCTTCGGCTCGTGCGCTTGCGTCAAAATTCACATTCGTGAAAAAAGCTCAACTTTACACACTTGTTGCATAAATAACTATTATATACGTTTGTAGAAAATAGCTATTAATATTTATGCAACAAGTGCGTAAAGTGGAACTTTTTTTTGCATTTTAGGTGCAGAGGTACTTACTCTCGAGTTCAGGTTCTACACTCGGTTCTATTTCTACTTCTCCATCAGCATCCAGTATTTGATTGCTGATATCTTCTGCTAGTTCTGCTGTGCTAGCTTTGGACTTTTTTGGGATTGGTTCTCCATACTCAGGACTTGCGTTCCTCACTTTAAAAGCAAGTGGTGACAAGTTGTTTGCAAAATTAATGCTTTTATTATCCATTTTTGTTAGTTCGTTGGTTTTAATTTCGAATTCGAAGTGCGGTGTGGTCGATGTGGACGGCCGGCCGGATATCTTGCACAAAACATAGTTACCTGCGCAGGGATCAGCTGATCATCGGGCATATTCAGCTTACAACGCTAACCGTGCGTTCGGTATTTTGATCTGAGTTCTCCGAGCTTGAATTTACCTAGAGTAACTCTAAACAGTTTATAAATTAACAGGTGCTTACTCGGAGCGTTACGCTGGAACCGTTCAGAAATCGAGAGTTGACGTGCCCAGAGTGCGCCCAAATTACCCCACCTAGGGACTGGGTTGAAACACACCTCGTGTTTTTTACCGGGTTTTACGTGATTTCAAGGTTGTTTTCAGTATGATCATTTACCGCAACGCCCCAATACGTTTAGAAATAGCGCGCCCAGAGTGCACTCCAAGTGATGACGTCAGAACACTCTGACGAACAATTACTCTACCTTCACATTCTATTTCTAAACACACTCCAGCGTTCACAATCGGCTAGGTAAAATTTGCTCGACATGCGCGATGCAGCGATAGTTTCAGGGTTTTTTTTCTATTCCGAAACCATCACAACGTTTTTAAAAAAGGTAGCTGGATCCATGATCAAATACAAATTCAATTCACAAAGAAAATGGAAAAATAAATGACGAATGTACCTACGAGATTCGAAATCAAAACATAAAACTTATGGAGATAACAAAAATTCACCTTGGTTGGGGCGTTTCTTAACCCAGTCAAGTCACTCCAACTACCCGAGTAAGATCTACCTAAAATACTTAGGTAGAATCATTGCCTTGCGTTCGGTATTTTCCGTGCGTTCGTTATTTTGGTCTGAGTTCTCCGAGCTTGACTTTACCGTTCGTTTATTTGAAAAGTGTACTCGGTGCAGCCTCATTCGCATTTGTTTATTAAAATTTCTGGCACTTTTATACAGCGTTCAACTACTCTGTTCGCTCGCTGGTCACGTGATTACGGCTCCGCTCAGCACGCTCTGCTCTTTGAGCAAAATACCGAACGCAAGGTTTGCTCAAAGAGCAAAGCGTGCTGAGCGGAGCCGTAATCACGTGACCAGCGAGCGAACAGAGCAGTTGAACGCTATTTAAAAGTGCCAGAAATTTTAATAAACGAACGCGAATGAGGTTGCACCGAGTACACTTTTTAAATAAACGAAAGGAAGTCAAGCTCGGAGAACTCAGACCAAAATAACGAACGCACGGTTGGTAATGGTAAAATATAATCCGGGTTGTCGTATCTTGAATGCGCCCCTGGGCGCACCCACCGTACACTCTAGTTCATATTAAAGCGAAATGGAATGACTCCGAGTGACTCGCAGTAGGTGGGTGCATTTGACTTTGGTAGTTACTCCAAAGTGACTCCGAACAAATAGATAGCTCCTGAGTATTTTTTTTTTCTGAATTGTTCGGACAGATTTGAAGCTCCAAAGTATTCTTAATTGGTTGGTTGAAAATATTTCTGAGCTGCTTTCAGGTGCCACCCTCCTGAGCTACTCCAAAGTACTCCGGCTACAGTTTGACCGGTTCGGTTTCAAGCATTCGAGTGCAAAACGCATGGAGTATGACAGGTGTGAAGAGTTCTAGGAGCTTCGCACTCTGCAGCCGAAAGGCCGGTTTCTCAATAGCTAGTGACCTCCGGGTTGGTTTTAACTCCAGGGATAAGCGTGTCCAGTTGCTATGTTTACCCCGGAGTTATGCTTAACCCGGGGGTGACTCGCTATTGAAAAACCGGCCGTAAAAGGTTTCCAGTTCTAAATTGAATCCCGAATGAATAAATTGTTCGATAACCGGAACCAGTACAGCTTTTAGGCCCAGTTGTACAATCTTTGACAGAGTTCAGCTGGACTCTACTGGTACTTGAACTTCCCCATTTGAAATTCATTGCTGTCAAAAATGATAGAATTTGAGTAATAGCTGACAGCAATGTATTTTAAATGGGAAAGCTCAATAAGTACCAGTCGAATTTAGTTGAACTTTGTTTTGAGCCGAGATTGTACAAGTAGGCCTTAGCGTTCGAACTCGTGAACCCACCGAACACTTTAGTGATTCGTAGTAAATAGGTGCATTTGACTTTGGGAGTACTCCAAATCATTCCGAACGAATAGCAATAGCAGAAATTGATTCGAAATTATTTTTAGGCTTATTTTGTACCACAATCCACAAATATGTTAATTTTGATGCATTTTAACGTTATCAGGCCTTAATTGATACCAAATAAGTTGGAATAATAGTCTATTAGGCAATCCAACGGGCAACGACCTGTCCAAATGGCGTCTGGTTGGCAAACTATAAACAAAAAACATATGTTTTTTTTTTGACATGAACAGCGAAATTCGCTCTTTTTTGACATTGCTTCGACCATTTGACGTTTTATGCGTGAATCAAACGTCAAATTGTCGAATCAAGTAAAAAAAAAAACGAATTTCGCTGTTATGAGTACTCGGCCTAATCAATACACGGGGCGAGTTCTCAAATCTGACACTTTTCTGACATGTAACAACCCGTATTCTAACCTCATAAAAATTTCAAAATTAGGCAATTCAATCTACAGTGACTTTATTACCCACAGTAGCCAAGTAGGGAATTTTCATAAGAAATAAATATGGCTTATTTTGTTTTTATGGTGCACATTTTTGTGTAAAATATTGAATATGAGCAGTTTTGTAATAAATTTATGGACATTATAATCATATGGCAATTATTAGTTTTAAATTGAAAAGTTTCGCGCGAAAAAGTTACGTTTAACATGGCCGCTTCCAGTGACGTCAACTGCTCGTAATTTAAGGTTAAGGGTAGTTTACACTGATCGAAAATCCACGGTCCACACTTTCATGGTTCACTCTTGAATCGTGGAACGATTGATCCACGATCAGCTCACGTCACGCCACGACTGATATTGAACCACCATAAACGGGTCTATAGAGGGAAGATTGTCAGACTGCGCTTTTGTAAATCCTGTATCAACCATGATGAACTATTTGAAACACAAAAAGTCACAATATGGCACTAAGTATGGAAATACCGCATAAATAACCGCTTTCAAGTTTCAATGCAGTCGAAGGTTCAAGCTAAGCGATTATTTCCGACAGTTTGCAAAGTATCAAATGCTCTTGTGAGAACAGACCTTAACGTTGTGTTTACAGACAGTTGACGTCACAAATGCCACCATCTTGAAGCTAATCGTTTTCGCGCCAACGAAAATAATTTGAAATTCAAAATAATTTTTTTATTTTAATGAGGAAAAAAATACGATTGTTCCCTATTGCTGTCTTATTTTTGATTGGTCCTAAAATCCCATATATTTATATTGCAAACGCCGCCATCTTGTGCCCATCTATTGCTTATTTCAAATCTGAATATATGGGATTTGGGTGAAAATTCATCATAAAACATGGAAAACAACGTATTTGATGGACCTAATAATAGTCATCAAATACGTCGGTTTCAATTTTTTATGATAGATGTCTATTTAAATCCTATATATTAATATTTAAAAGTAACAAGAGCTTGGGAACAAAATGGCGCCGGGACCTCTATTGTCGCCACTGTATGTAAAGGTTTATTTAGCCACTGTAATTCAATCCATCTGTCAAAAAGGTAAATTCAATATGGCGTGGCGGCCAAGCAAGTTTGTTTTGAATATGTTTTTATGCGTATTTTAAATTATTTTGCTTAGAGTTTTGCTTGCAACTTTGATTTTGATTATTTAATAAAATATTTGTTAACTAGGTACCTAAAGTATTAAATCAGGCAGAAACTAGATATTTTTTTGTATTTTTTAGCCCATGTCTGGCCGCCACGCCATCTTGAATGTCACGTGGTTTGGATTGCCTAATGCCCGCTGGTTGGCAAAAGTCACGTGGTTTGGATTCCCTAATTCCCGGCTCTTGATTGAGTTTCTCGAGATAAACAAAATTCAAGAGGCCGGAATAGAAAAAACATGAATGTTCCCTAATAATAAATGTCTTCCTTATCTACTCCACCATTTTTTTTTACATTTTTCCTTTATTTCTCAATTTTTCCATTTTTTCCAGCTCAATTTTTGTCTAATCCGGCATCATTTGTCCGTCTCAATTTTTGTCTATTCCCGGCTCTTGAATTTCTCGAGAAAAAAAAAATTGACGAGCCTGGAATAGAAAAATATGAATGTTAACTTGCCTACCAATTTTTTCTCCATTTTTCTTACGTTTCTCCTCTATTTCTTAATGTTTAGCAATTTTAAGCAATTTAGAAGAAAACGAAAATTCAAGAGCCAGGAATAGACAAAAACTGAGAGAAGAAATTCAAGAAAATCTCAGAATAAAATTGATATAAGAGGAGGTTTTGTGTTTTTTATTTCATTTCGGACAGCACACTGAGCCCACAAAGTCTAAAAGACGTCTTTTTTGGATGTGCATTGCGTCAGAACGTCTGAACCCCAAAAATGACGTCTAGAAGACGGAAGACATCGATAAGATGACGTAAATTCACATCTTAAAAACAACTGAGCCACACTGTTTGGTATACAACCAGTAGGCCTAAAAGTGAATAATTGTTACCTAATGTATTAAAAAGAGATTCAAAGACGTCTTTAGAATATCTTGGAAAAATGTTATAAAGACGTTTTTAGGCAGACGTTCGAGAGCCTTTGAGTTTTGTTACATACTTACGTCATAACGACGTCTTTTAAGATGCATTGAATGCGTAAACAGACGTCTAAAAAATGTATTGAATGTCATTTGTGGATCTCTTTTGGCCGTTTGCACCAACCATTTTAAGGAAGCCTTATTAGCGATAAGTTATCCTTAAAATGACATTTCTACATGGAAAAATGTCACTTTAAGGAATACTTATCGCTAAGGCTTCCTCAAAATGGTCGGTGCAAACGGCCATTAGGGACTTTATAAGGATTTCTACAAAACCTTATTCTCACAAAATTCGTTCCTCATTGAATTTAGAAGTTTATTGGAAAACCATTCAAAATGCTTCAGAACACTTTAGAACTTTAATAAGCCTGGAATTATTATACCTAGAAGAAGAAAATAAGTGAACCAGGAGGTGAGACTCTCAAAAAATATACCCAAGGAACTTCACAAAAACAAAACGACTCAAAATCATCACTTTATTGAACTATTATTCATTTCCTCTTCTTCCAATTCAATTTCTTCATCGAAAATCTGCAAGTCTTTCACGTAATAACAAACTGCAGCATCGAATACTGTACCGACTAATACAAAAGCTGCTGCAGTAAAGTTTACAGTATACCTGAGAGTTTCTCCATTGTATAACCAACAATTTCCATTTCCGTTACATGTTTTACCCCAGACTAAACATGCTTTATCTATAAAATAACATGTAGGCAAAAATATTTTATTGTTTTTTTGTAATTAAATTACCCATAATAATTCCGAACAATATTGGAGAAGGTACAAATGCACATAGGCTCATCAACATCAGTCCAAATCCCATAGCTACAGATTTGTCTTTTTCTTCTACACATCTACAATAAATGGCGTTTTTAATAAATTAAGCTAACATCTGCAAAACATTTCATCTATACCTTACAGTTACCAAAAAATTCGAAGCCCTTCCAGTAGCTCCGCTAAACTTGAGCAAACAAACTACGCACAAAAACATATAGAATTGCGAGTAGCAATCCACCGAGCAACTTCCAGGCATTACAAAATTCTCCAGCCTATCTGTAGCTTTATTTGGATTATTTTCGCTCTTGATACAAGAGCAATCACTATGGACATCAGTCCCATTTAGATTTACAACTTTTTTACATCCGGCATGGCAGGCGGAAATAAAAGTTCTACCATCTGAAGAACAGACTGGATTGTATTTAATGTAGCCGCAATGGCAGTTTGAGTTACAATCGGATATTGGATTCAATCTAAAAGCAGTTTGCTAAAAACCACTAATAGATTAGTAGGTAAGTTACTTACTCTCCATTAGGCAAAAGTGGCGCTCTATTATCATTATCAGTACATCCCAAGTAGGCATAAGAAATTATTCCCATGACAGATACAGCACCTACCAAAACGTTCCAAGCAGCCAGATATCTGGCTCTGGGTCTAAATTTTGAAATTACCAGTCCAGAAAGTAGAATTCCGACTGCTGAAAAAACCAGCCCTGCACTACCTGTAATAAGACTGGAAGCTGAAGCCGATTGCCTATATTGGGTTTCGATGTATTTTGGTAAAAATATCCAATAGGGCATGTAGCCTAGGAAATAGAAAACTGCTGCAAAGTTGTTAAGCATTAATGTTCTATTTGAAGCTAGTCTTCTAAATGTTACAATCATATCTGGAAATTTATTTGTAATAATTATTGAGCAAATATAAATAATTTACTACCTTTAAATGAAGGTAAAGGTGGTTCTTCGTCCATAGGCTTATTAGACACTCTAGAAGCCTGTCTTTTGATTTCTTTCCTAACAGCTGCTCTAGGTAATGTTTTAGGGAATAGTGCTAATAATGACGCAAATACGAAAAGAATAAATGCTAGGATCAACCAACCCAACCACCAGGCTCCCAACCATCTGGGATCTTTAGTGTCAATGGTGGGTGTTAATCCTGGAGAAATGTACAGTTTCAGGCAAATTGATGCTAGGCCATGTCCTATAGCTGGGCCTAACATTCTTATGAAATAGGAAAAGCCTAAAAAATATATTGATGATTAAGTAGAAAAGAATTAAACATGCTTTGTAAATATCTTGTCTGTGACGTATTTTAAGTACACAAGCTATGGAGAAATTAAATTAAATATTTATTTATGTGTTTTGGTATTTTCATTCAACATTAACGTAACTACGTCATCTAATTTGATTAGAGTTTATTATCTATTTAGTTTTATATACCTAGGTAAGAGTTGACCATGTACTACATTGTACTTACTAAATAATGCTGGAGTTTTCGATCTTTTAATATTATCATCCATATAAGAAACTCCCAAAGTATAATACAAAGATCCTCCAATACCGGAAATAAACTGAGCGCTAAACAAAATCAATTGAGGCGCGTAACTTCCGCCTTCCAATTCGCACTCGGAAATTTTCCTCGTAGTTTCATTGCTACACAAAAACCTTTTTTGTTCCTCCAACAAAAATTCTATAGAAGCATTATCGTTGGTAGCATGTTCTCTGGTAAGAGCCAGAGCGTCGATGCCGGGGCCGTAAAGGAAATGTGGTAAGGCTGTCATAATGCAGAATAAAACTACAGTGTACATGCCTAAGGCCATCCATCTTGGTCTGTGTCCTCTTCCGGTGTAATAGCTTAGGATTACCGACATTAGTAGTTGACTTAAGTCATTTCCTACTGAGATTATACCTAAAACAATAATCGAAATATTGAATTTGATATGTAAACTTATGGTTTTTGAAGTTCAAAATTGGAGAACATGATTAAGGGACTGAAAGATGTTTCACGGATGATGAATTTCGTAAATATAGGTATAGTAAGGAGATTATAGTGTTTCCGATTTATCTATAAGCCCATTTTTGAAAGTTTCTCAAACATTTCTGGGCAAGCAACCAAGAAATTATGGTAAGTATAAAAAGGAACACAATGGTAGGTATATTGAACAATTCAAATATGCAGATTTTACACTACATTCTGGACTTGCAGAAAAGGGAAAAGGGATAGTAATCAGGTTATTATCAGATATTATATGATAGTATGTAAGAATAATAATGAGTCTGATCTTATTTATCTATCAACTTTCACAAATTTGATTTTCGAGAATTTTTCATATTAATGATTTTCATTAGGTCAATTTGAAATTTTAGATTAATGAACTCCTAACCTTCCTCTTTCCACCCCAAAAACTTTGAAACTTTCTCCTGGATAGTTTCTCAGAAAACTTTTGATAGGTATGTGAGAAGATGCATTTTTTTCTAATTGGCTTTACAAAATAGATTTTCGATAATTTCTCATATTTAGATTTTCACTGGACCAATTTGAAATTCTAGTTCAGTGAGCTCCTAACCTTCCTCTTTTCATCCCGAAAGTTTTGAAAAGTACCTTCTCCTGGATAGTTTCTCAGAAAACTATTAAAATGTAAGAAGGTGAATCTGTTTCTAAATATTGGCTTTATAAACCTGTACGTGTTTCGAGAATTTCATATTGGTGATTTTCTCTGAACCAATTTGAAATTCTTGCTCAATCAGCTCCTAACCTTATTTCTCTCGGTACCCCAGAAGTTTTGAAACTTTCTTCGGGATAGTTTCTCAAAAAACCATTGTAGTATAAGAAGGAGTTTTTTTTTCTCTAATAGGCTTTACTAAGCTGATTTTTGAGAATTCCTCATATTGGTTATTTTTACTAGAGATCAATTTGAAATTCTAGCTTAGTTAGCTCCTAACTTTCCTCTTTCTATCCCAAAAGTTTCAAAACCTACTCCTGGACAGTGTCTCAGAAAACTATTAAAATATGAAATGGAGCATTTTCTTTTAAATTGATTTTACATAGCAAGATTTACGAGAATTTCTCATATTGGTGTTTCTAACTTTCCTTTACTCCGCCTTGCTTCAAAACTTCCTCCTGGATAATTTCTAAGAAAACTTTCAAAATGTATATGTTTCTAAATTGGCTTTACAAAGCTGATTTTCGAGTATTTTTCATATTGATTGGTAATTTTGATTGGATCAATTTGAAGTTCTAGTTTAATAAGCTCCTAACTTTTCTCTTTTCACCCTAAAAGTTTTAAAACTCACTCCTGGATAGTTTTTCAGAAAACTATTAAAATGTGAGATGATTTTTTTTTCTAAATTGGCTTTACAAAGCAGATTTTCGAGAATTTCTCATATTGGTTATTTTGATTGGATCAACTTGAAATTCCAGCCCAATGTGCTCCCAACCTTCCTTTTTTGACCCCGCAAGTTTTGAAACTTTATGCTGGAAAGTTTCTCAGACAACTAGTGAAATGTGAGAAGATGCATTTTTTCTAAATTGACTTTGCAGAGCTAATTTTCAATAATTTCTCATATTGATTGGATCAATTTGAAATTCTATAATAATGAGCTCCTCACCTTCCTCTTTCAGGTCTATAAACCTAGCAGTCCCAAGGTGGAAAAAAACTTCGGGAACTATATAATAATTAGGTGCTTTTTAGGTGCTAATTAGGTCCTTTAATTTAAAATTAGGTGCTCCTCTGGTTTTTGAGAAAATCAAAAAAAAAACCCAATAATTGCTAGGTTTATGAAAGCTAGTAGTCCCCTATAGTGAAAAATATTTCTTTCAAATTTCTTCTTTGTATCAGTATTAGGTGCTTTTTAGGTGCTCCTAAATAGTCGAAGAAAAAATAGAATTGATTAATTATTAACTGAGTTGCAGATTTTTTTTTAATTATTAGGGGACTGCTGGCTTTATGTTTACATGATGGTCTGTCAGAATGGCAAAAAAACTTCGGGATCTATATAATAATTAGGTGCTTTTTAGGTGCTAATTAGGGCCTCTAATTAAAAATTAGGTGCTTTTCTAGTTTTTGAGAAAATCAAAAAAAACTAAGGGATTGCTAGGTTTATAAAAGCTAGTAGTCCCCTATAGTGAAAAATATTTTTCCAAAAATTTCTTCTTTGTATCAGAATTAGGTGCTTTTTAGGTGCTCCTAAATAGTCGAAGAAAAAATAGAATTGATTGATTATTAACTGAGTTACAGATTTTTTTTTTTAAATTATTAGGGGACTGCTGGATTTACGTCTACTTGTTGGTCTGTTAGAATGGCAAAAAAACTTTGGGATCTATATAATAATTAGGTGCTTTTTAGGTGCTAATTAGGGCCTCTAATTAAAAATAAGTGCTCCCAGGGGCGTAGCCAACAGGGGGGGAGACGGGGAGCCTCCCCCCAGGGCGCAGCTGGCATAGGGGCGCCAAAATAGGCCGAAGTGTAAAAAATAAATAATTTTTTTTAGCCAAACGGCAAGTGAAAAAAAGTTTCCGTGTAGGTAATTAAATAGTGGGTATACTATTTTACAAACATTACAATTCAGAATGGATAGTATTTTAATGCTAATTCAGCATGCATTTAGACGCTGGGCTGGAGGGCGCCCGAGCACGCCCCAGTCAAGAGTTCCATTTCTCTCTGAACACGCCCTAATCAAAAGTTCCATCAAAACGGGACGCATTTTTCCGTTTCCCATTTGGTTACCACTACATAGAACGCTAATTCTTTAGGACTTGTAAAATTATATCTGGCATCGCGTTTCCTATTAGGCCAGCGCACATTTGTTTACCGCTACATGGAGCGCTAATCATATAGGACTTGTTAAATTGTATCTGACGTCGCGTTTCCTATTAGACCAGCGCACACCCTCTGCGATCGTCTGCAGACATCCATTGCAATGCATTATCGTTGTCATTTTTTGAGGTTAATTGGTGATTAGAGGTGGTGCAATAATTTTGTAATATTTCTAGTTGTCTCGTTTTATTATTTCTGTTGATTCTACACTGAGAAATCCTCTAGCTAAAAGTTCTTTACTAATGGATTTTCGGCTATCATAGCAGAAATTTTAGCTGTAATTGCAAAACGATCCTATTCTAAATAGTAGTAGAACGCACTTTACTAAGTTATCAAAAAGTACCTTGGTTGTAACAGTAACCTTCTTTACTGCCACTAATACTTTTTTCCTGTTACAGTAGAAACACTTATTTTTAATAAGTATCTATATTTGCTACCGCGGCAAAGTGCTTGCCTGGAACTATGAGAAAGTGTTTCATAAGTTTTTTCTTATTACTACTGGAAAGAATTTCACTGCTACAAAAAAAGTTAAATTCTGCAAGTTGTTTTATTAATTATTATTGAAAACCAACCCAATGGTTGGCAATATGAGCGTAGTTATTTAATTTACGTGCGCTGGTCTAATAGGGAACGCGACGTCGGATATAATCTAACAAGTCCTAGTCCTATAGGAGCTGCGCACCATAAAGCGGTAGACAATGTGCGCTGGCCTAATAGGAAACGCAATGCCAGATATAATTTTACAAGTCCTAAAGGATTAGCGCTCCACCTAGCGGTAACCAAATAGGAAACGGAAAAATGCAAACGGCATAACGGAAAGTCGGTGTCCCGTCACTCTCGGTTTCGGTGACGTAATCACGTATTATTGATACTGATCGATCAATAGACAATAATGAACCACATTTGTTTAAAATTGGCAAAATTTGGATGTGGTCACCAAATATCAGAGCTGGGCAAGCTACTTGAAAAAAGTAGCTAGCTACAAGTTACAAGCTACTATATATTGTAAGTAGTTAAGTTACTTAGTAACTTAACTACCTCTTTGAAAAAGCAGCTAAGCTATTAGGCAATCTCAATCACGTGATTTTATAATGGCCGTTCGGGTCAAATATTGCCGTGACAAGGGTGACAAGCCGGTGACGTTCATAAGGAGAGCATTTGTGCACATTTGTGTTCTGGCCCTTGTTGCTTTCGAAGTGAATTTTATAGTCTTTGGTGTTTCAACGTATCTTTTATTGGTTTTGGCCATTGTTGCTTTCATAGTGAATTTTATAGTCTTTAGTATTTCAACGTATTTTTTAGTGTTCTGGCCCTTGTTGTTTTCAAAGGGATATTTATAGTGTTTCTACGTATTTTTTAATTTATTAATAAATTCTGAGATGGAGAGTGAATATTTTAAGGTATTATTATTAAGGGAAAATCGAGCCTCTGTTAGATCCTTTCTTTTAATTGCAGCAATCCATAAAGCCCTGCCTTGCCAATGATTTAAAATAGCAGGAACTGAATAAAATTTCATCTTTTTCCTGTTACCTCGGCTTCCACACCCAATTACGATGCAAATCGCTGGCATTTTAATTAACACAATACCTAAACACACAAAAAAATACAAAATCCGATAATTCAAATCTGGACGTTTGTCCAGAATGTGACAGAATCAATGACATACAGAATAAACAACACAGTGCTTGACCCAATGCTTGACCTGAACTTCCATATTGAATTTCGATTTTGACAGGTCAGTAGATTGCCTAATTGGTAACTTAACTACATTTTAAATTAGTTGAAAGCTACTTTTTAAGCTACATTTTCAAAAGTTAAATTAATGAAAACAAAAATCAATCAAATTATAGAAGGTTTTTATATTCTGTCCAAACCAAATCTGAAAACTGAAAAGGCGGGGATTATAATAATAAACAACTGTGGTGGGGTGGCGTGGCGCTGATTCCAGTCACTCCAAACATGAAAATGCCAAAAGGCAAAAATTGCAACGTCGCATATAAATTGTTTTGAGGCTCCCACCAAGCTCTTATTTCTCTTTCGTGCGCACTGAACACAGTGTCGTAGCGTAGAGAACAGTGTCATAGTTAAATATTCTCATTTATTTGGTAGATTTTAACTGGAGGCAGTTTTGACAGGCGCCCGACGAAAACAACGAATTTGTTTAAGCTCATCTACGTTGTTTTTAGATATACTTATTATATTGTTGTTCAAAATTACTGTCTATTGTCTATATGAGAAAGTACCTACTCTAAATTCTGATTTTAACGGCGGGTGAAACTGCGGGGAACAGAACCACTAACTCCAGCGATGTGCGAATGCCAGAATAAAACGGGACACAAGTTGAAACTAGTCTATAGACTAGACACAGGATAAGATTTTTCTGGGAAAATAATTATTGCAACTTAATCAATAAAAGTAACTTCAACTACCAAAAATAGCTTAAGTTACCAAAAGTAGCTCGAGTAGCTTGCTTTAGTAGCTAGCTACTTTTCACAGTAGCTTATGAATACATGAAACAAATTACTAAAAGCTACAGCTACAAGCTACTTTTTGAAAAAAGTAGCTTGAATAAGTTATTAGCTACCAAAAAAGTAGCTAAGTTAGTAGCTTAACTACTTGGTAGCTAGCTACTGCCCAGCTCTGCCAAATATATATATTTTTTTTCACCCTTGGATTGCCTTCGCGGCGCTTAAGGGGCGCCGGATCTTAGCCTTCCCCCCCTAGGGATATTCATATCGCTACGGCCCTGAGTGCTCCTCTAGTTTTTGAGAAAATCAAAAAAAACTGAGGGATTGCTAGGTTTATGAAAGCTAGTAGTCCCCTACAGTAAAAAATATTTTTCCAAATTTTTTTTTTTAATCAGAATTAGGTGCTTCAAAATAGTCGAAGAAAAAATAGAATTGATTGATTATTAACTGAGTTACAGATTTTTTTTTAATTATTAGGGGACTGCTGGCTTTATTACGTCTACTTGTTGGTCTGTCAGAATTGCAAAAGAACTTCGGGATCTATATAATAATTAGGTGCTCCTCTAGTTTTTGAGAAAATCATTTAGGAGCACCTAAAAAGCACCTAATTCTGATACAAAGAAGAAATTTGAAAAAAAATATTTTTCACTATAGGGGACTACTAGCTTTCATAAATCTAGCAATCCCTTAGTTTTTTTTGATTTTCTCAAAAACTAGAGGAGCACCTAATTTTTCATTAGAGGCCCTAATTAGCACCTAAAAAGCACCTAATTATTATATAGATCCCGAAGTTTTTTTGCCATTCTGACACACCAACATGTAAACGTAAAGCCAACAGTACCCTAATAATTAAAAAAAAAATCTGTAACTCAGTTAATAATTAATCAATTCTATTTTTTCCTGGACTATTTAGGAGCACCTAAAATGCACCTAATTCTGATAAAAATGAAATTTTTGAAAAATATTTTTCATTATAGGGGACTACTAGCTTTCATAAACCTAGCTATCCCTTAGTTTTTTTTGATATTCTCAAAAACTAAAGGAGCACCTAATTTTTAATTAGAGTCCCTAATTAGCACCACCTTGGGACTGCTAGGTTTATAGACCTTCCTCTTTCCACCCCAGAAGTCTTAAAGCTTTTCCCTATATGGTTTCTCAGAAAACTATTGTAATATAAGAGGGTGCATCTAATTCTAAATTGGCTTTACAAAGCTGATTCTCGAGAATTTCGCATACTGATGATTTTCATTGGATCAATTTGAAATTACATTACAAGCTCGGTAACGTAAACACGAAAAGTACAGACCCTTTCACATTACCGATTGTTTACATTAATGAAAATCTCTTTTTTTTTTGTTTAAACTAAACAAAAATGAAAACATATGATTATTTTTATCTATCGGAAAGTTCGTTTAAAAGTACACTAAACGCTAACTATAGGTCTGTTCTCACGAAAATCACAAAAGAAGTCAGAGCGAATTTTATTGGTTGAAAATAGTCAGAAAACTGGTTGTTAGCGATTTGCACCAATCAAAAACGCTGACTGGTTTGTGATTTCTGTGAAAAGATCTTCAATATCAAATAAGTTTTTTGTGTCCACTGAAAAGATATATGGGAAGTGAGGTATTTTTGTTTAGTTAATTTTCCCATTTTTAACGCGGAACTATATGTACTGTGAGTAGGTACTTTCCAAATCTAATAGATCCTCAAGTGAAAAGGAAAAGTTGCATAGCCACTATCACATGATTACTGGAAAATTCTCGTTAACAAACGCTAAAAAACAGCAAGCCAATCAAATAACGATAGTTTTTAGCAAAAGGTATTAAAGAAAATGATCCACTATATTAGAAAAAATAAGTCAACTTTCTCAAGCAAAAGGAAGTGCTCATCATCAGGAAAATAGTAAATATTTAAAACAATACAAGTACAAGTATAGATATTGATGAAACTGAACTGATAATAGAATATGTTCTTGAATTTGCAGTGCAAATGATGATGCTGCAAAAATTGAGATGAATTGTGAAAGTGATCATTAAAAAAAGAGATAGTTACAAGATGCGACGTTGCTGGCGCATTTTGTTACAGAAAAACTGTAGACTCATTTAAAACTCTACCATGGTCAGATTCAAAGTAACTAGTTTGAATTCTACGTTTATTTTAGTTAAAATTGAAAGTATCTTTAGTCGCTAGCAATTTCAAAGTAACTAAGTATGTAGTCAAAATTCAAAGTGACTTTATCGATGTAAGTAGCTAATTTTGAAATTCCTACTCTATTATGGCAATGTGAGCTGAATTGTTAAAAAATCAAAATGAATAATATCCAGGTCTACCTACCTGTTGTTCTACTGGGTATCCTAAATCTTTTCTCCAACGTCGTAATGGTACCATTAAAATAGGCAAAAGAAGCTGAAAACATGCACCCCAACAGCCCGTAAAGTATAACGTAAGCTTTCTTATTGGCGAACTTTTGCAAAAAGTCTCCTTTAAAACACCAAACACCGCACGTTGTTTCTTTCAAGTTCACACTTATTTGTTGAGACACTGTAAATCTTTCAGTATTGCCGTTTTGTAAAAACGCACTCGTTTCATCTGAATTTTTTTTGTTGGATAATTTCAAATCCATATTTTCTCCAACTATACTATAATGAAAATGAATTTGCTTATACAATTATTATTGTTAAATAAACAATAAAGATAAGATGAGAAAAAAAAAGTGTAGAAAAAGATTACTCTTAGGTAAGTATATTTATTGTTAAATGTCTAAGTACGGTAAAGTTTTAAACAAACTAATGATAACAGACTTACACATGTTTTACTTTACGACAACATTTTTGTCTTGGTTCACTTCTAATCTACTACTGTAACTTTTAGAGACATATCTATACCATTTATTCAATTGTGTGTCTATTTAAAATTAGAGGTAATTGATAATGATTCGTTAGGAATTTTGCAGAGATAACTAGCAAAATGAGCCTCTTTTCAAAGAGTAGAGTCATTAGACGAAATTTTCCAAGATATATTCGGCTTCAAATGGAAAAGAAGAATGTTGTTTTTATTTATTTATAGTACACTACAAAACAATAATAAGTTTTCTAAATGGTACATACATGAAAATATATTTAAAAAAATAAAGATATATAGGACAAGTAGATCACAGTGAACAACAGTTCGACTAAAGAATCCGCGTTGTTCTGGTATAAGGTAAAGTCTATATAAGTTTCGAATATTTCCTCGGTTAAGATTGATTCAAATACTTTTGGGATGGCAGAAAGTATCGATATTCCATCGCACCTATCTCCAGACTTGAAAATGGGAAAAAGGAGCGATAACTTCCACTTTTTAGGAAAAAAGCCACAATCCAAAGATCGTTGAAAAATAATGCAAAGTGGTAAGGCTAAGGAAGACGAGCAATAACCTTTCAGAAATATAGCTGGTATTCCGTCGAGGCCAGCTTTTTTGGATATGTGCAGCAGATGTAGTGAGCAACAAGAGATGCAAAACTCCATTCATCGAGAATTGGATGAAAAAAATAACCAATTAGCTCTACTTGAAAATGCTGTTGAAAAGCTGAAGACTGAAGCCAGACAGAAAGACGCTGACTACGAGCGGAGAGACTCCGACGACCAAAATCGAATTTCGGAACTCTGTAATGAGATAGAAGCACTAAAACTCGATCGAAGGCACAAAGACATTCACATAAAACGACTCGAACGCGGCTCGCGTACCTTTAATGAAGAAGCTAAAGAAATGGAAAAGTGCAGCAATATTAAAATTGCAGAACTCCAGAAATTCATAGAGGAACTTCAGGGTAAGCTTCTGGAGGGAAAAAAATATTGAGCAACAGCTTCGAATGGATCTAGCTGGACAAGAAACAGAACTACATACCAGCCAACGATTGACAAAGGATATGACGATCAAAATTAACAACCTGGAAATACTAAATAACGAGTACTTAATCAATATGTAAAGAGCAGCTCGATTTTTACGCTGAGGGCGGGCCAAAGTTGGGACCCTGCAACTCGAACACAATAACACCAAAAGCCTCTAAACCGCTATCAGATACCAATAGGCAGAAAAACAGTTTGCATAAACTCCTTATTCTATCCGATGAGCATGGAAGGAACCTAGACCGTAATATCCGCAAACATTTGGATTCAGCAGCCAGCGGTCAAAATTGAAGCACTCATTAAACCGGGAGCTCAATATAGTAGTGTTTTGACTGGGTTGGAGTGCTGTATAAAAGGATACAGTAGGCACGATTGTGTTGTCATTGTTGCCGGATCAAATGACTTTTTAAATAACAAAAGACCAAAATTCAGTCACATTCATGAGATTATAAAAAAGTGCACTCAAACAAATTTCATATTTTTGGCTTGCCCTACTCTACGAAAAAACCGCAACAATGACTACATACATCATTTCAACAATAATTTGGAGAAGGTGATAGGTGCATTTAATAGAATCTCCGAATCTTCCTTTGATTACATTAATATAAATACTGATGGGGGCTTCAAGGTTAGAAACTGGCTGATTGGTAGAATGATTGCTGAATCAATCCAATTGAATACTCTTCACACAGAATTGAATAATAGTCAACAACAGATCTTTTCATACCCAAGCAGCCACTCTGGCAACAGACAGATCTCCACAAGCCTTTAACTATACCAGACATTTAAACGACAAGGATATAACCTCTCATTCCATTAGCTTATTTGAAGAACTAAATGATACGCTTGGTAATGGAGGGAGCTCTTCAGCTCACGATAATACTGGTGGTTTGCATTCAACATTTTCAAGCTCTTTTTTAGGGGTTCGATTGAAGGACCGGTGCCCAACAAAATAACTCATGTTACTGTACTGCTTCAAAATATACAGTCCGCTAGAAATAAGGCTGATGAGCTTTTAACATTTTTAGAAAGTCAAAATTTTCCACACTTACTGCTACTAACGGAACACTGGCTTAAAAAGGGTGAGCCCTTTTATGTTCCAAATTATCACATTATGTCCAAATTCTGTCGCTCGAACTTTAACAATGATGGGGGCACAACTATTCTTGTGAGCACGGAATTCTTTTCAAACTCAGATTTTTCTAACTGCGATAAATTCAACTTCCTTATCTCTGAAAAAATTTTCGAGTTCTCCATGCTTTTTTCTCGTTCTCTCAATACATATATCTTATGCTTATACGGTTCCCCAAATACCAGCATCGTATGTTTTATCGACAATTTTGAGCTTCTTTTATCTAATATTCCACCTAAATCGAAACTGATAGTTGCAGGAGACTTAAACATAAATTATTTGAAACCTGAGGAACATTCAACCATTCTGTTAATTAATCTGCTCGAAAGTTTCAACCTCCATATGCATATAAAAAATCCAACAAGAACAACTAATTCTACCTCTACTACCATTGATTACCTATGTTCAAATTTTAACACTGACCTTGAGTGCGATGTGATAGATGCAGATCTCTCTGACCACCACGCTATAATAGCCAAACTCCCCTTGAAGTTAAAGCCATGTAATAACTCCAAGAAACAAGGTAGGATATTTAGCAAAAGAAACTTCCTAAAATTTAAAAGTAGCTGTAATAGTACTAACTGGCAACCCATACTTCTAAAATGTGACCCACTACAAGAGTTCCACCTTCTTCTAAGTGGCATCATTAATATAACTTTTCCTTTAAGACCACTTCGTAAAAGATTGAACCAAAAACACTGGATGACACAAGGTCTAAAAACATCTGCAGCCAATCTTCGTTCTCTAAATATATTAAGGAGACACTTTCATGACAATCCATTTATAACTGCCTACTACTTGAGATTTCGTCAAGTCTACAAAAAACTCATTAAAACAGCTAAATACCTCTTTTACTCAAGTCGACTTAATAATGCCACCAACAAATCTAGGGAAACATGGAATGTTGTAAAAGAAATAACTGGCAAAAATATCTCAAAACCAACTGAATTTGATATAAAACCAGAAGAACTTAACAACTATTATTGTTCGGTTGCCAGCAATCTCACCAGCACCATTAATTCTGATACTGATCCTATGATTTACCTGGAAGGCTTACGGGTACAAAACTCCTTTGTTTTCTTTCCTACAGATACACAAGAAATAAAGATGATTCTTAAAACGGTCAAAAACCAAACTGCTGCTGGCTCAGACGGCATTTCAACAAAAATACTTGGGGAACTACCAGACCAAGCCTTCAATATATTAGTACAGGCGATAAATAAATCATTTTCTGATGGCTCGTTTCCCACTAGTCTTAAAGAAGCCTTAATCGTTCCAATCCACAAAAGTGGTGACACAAAAAATCCATCTAACTACCGCCCCACTATTGTCTACAATCTCTAAAGTAGTCGAAAAATTACTTAAAAAGCGAATGTTGAGTTTTCTGACATTGCATAATGTTTTCAATTCCGCCCAGTTCGGATTTCTCCCAAAAAAGGGCACGCGCATGATGCGATGTTCCGTGTGATCGAGGCGCTTTTCAGGAACTGTAACAATGGATATGCTACTGCGGGAGTGTTCTGTGACTTTTCAAAGGCTTTTGATTGCGTGAGTCACAGAACACTACTGGGGAAAGTAGAAGCCTATGGTTTCCGAGGCATTGTTCTGGAATGGTTTCGGTCGTACCTTTCCCATCGCAGCTAGCGTGTCTCCACGGATGGCAAACTATCCTCTGAACAAAACATCACTTTTGGAGTCCCTCAAGGCTCAGTTCTTGGACCCATCCTATTTCTTCTATATATCAGTGATCTCCTGTTCATCAATATATCTGGAGAATTTGCAGCGTTCGCGGACGATGCGACTGTGCTTTGGCACAACTTCGACCCTAACGAGCTGATCAGAATAATATCCCACGATCTAAACAGTGTCAAAATGTGGTGCGATGCAAATGGACTCCTTTTCAACTTCAACAAAACCCAAATACTAGCATTCCGATGTTACATCGAACGAATTGTATGTGACGAATTTTCCGTTAAAAGTTTGAAAAATACAAAGTTTGTTGGACTTAAATTGGATGTTAATCTTAAATTCCAATCACATATAATAGCTCTCAATAAAAAACTATCTTCAGGCTGCTACTGCATACGATCAATCTCATCTACCTTGGGGCTCACCATAGCAAAATCAGTATATTTCGCTGTGATACAATCGCACCTAACTTATGGATTGCCAGTATCTTTTTGAATCAGTGTTTAAACTACAAAAACGGGCAATCCGATTTATTGCTAGCGTTTCACCACGGGAGCACTGTAGGCCACTATTTGTTAAGTATCCAACGACCTGTCAAAACGAAATTCAAAATGGAGGTCAATGCCTTTTTATTTTGAAAAAATGCCGTTTTATTGCGATTTCTGAATTGTATAAACTCTGTAAAGTGTTGATTTTTTGGAAAATGCGTACGTTATGTATTGAACTTAGTTATGGAAGCCGTTTTTATCGGGAGAATGTCTCGTTTCATGCCGTTCCTACAGAGACAAAACAGGTTTTTAACGGAGAAAAACGATTTGCCTGTATTTTGTAAAAGGGCTTCATGGATTGTAGTAAAAGAGAAAAAGTCTGACGAAATCCATATTAAAAAACCAAAAAGTCTCTCTACATAAACGGTGTATGGATCCAAGCCATTTACTATCCTCCACATCAACTTGTGTCCATACCTGCTTGAATAGCAGACAAATAAAATATGAAATATACATCAGGATTCAGGATTTTGTTAAGAAAAAACGAAACAAGAAACAAATCCTGGATAGTAGCGACTTAATTGCTAAGTAGGTAAAGGTTTGTCACAAAGAAATCATAGCTTTTGCAAACATCTGGGTTTTCCACTAATAATTTCCTAAACTTAAAATTCCCTATCTTGAAATACAACAATTATCCTTCAAAGCACTAGAAAATCATCTTAAAACACCATAAAAATTTTTTTGGCATTGGCCGCCATTTTGTTTGGATTGCCCTATAGGATCCTCACTCTTCCATGTCTTTTTATTCTCGAGTCAGTAAGCCTTATTCATAAGAATGTCTCTTGTTTTCCGGCACGCCAAACTACCCATTATCTGACGAGACAAAGTCATCATCTGTCGCTTTCTATTCCACATTCCTCTCTTGTACAGAACTCTATCATTTACAAGAGTGTAAAACTTTATAATCACCTTCCAGCAACTTTGAAAGTCGAAAGATATATCAGATATCACTCTATTTCGAAAAAAGTTAAAGATCATTCTACTTACCCAAGCGTTCTATACTGTTAATGAATTTCTGGACTTGGTATTTTGAACCTAATAAATTTTAACCAGCTTTTGCAGCCTAGAATTATCGTGGGCGGGGCACTCTGTCCTGGGTGTTTATTTTATTTTCCTATCAGAGCACTACTCTACTGTTTGTTCATGTTTTATCTTATTTCTTAATGTTTCTCTCAAGATCTGACCCCCTAGTTATTTAGTTATTATTAATTTTAATATTTTACAACAGTTTGTTCTTGTATTGTTTCTTCTCTGTGTGACTTATCACTTGTTTATAGTTTTTTTATACCTATTTATTAACTGTTAAAATTTAAAAATATGTATGTGTATTTACTGTGAAAAGCATTATACTTAGATGGTTTAGATTTTAGATTTAAGGATTAGTGTTGTCCATAATGATTATTGTATCTTTTGACAATAAAGCATGCTACTACTACTATTTAACTTGTCTGTAATTTTCTGCGTCTGGAAGTTATAAGATGATAGGGAAGTAGCAAACTTGACAGGTTCAATGGATGGAATCCTGAATAATCCTTACATCTTTTCTCAAAATAAAACACAAACTATAAACAATTATTTAAATAATATATGTATATTGAACCTGATTCTTAAGTTTATATAGAATTTTTGGTGGGTATAAAATAAATAATTGATTCTAATAAAATATAACAACTAGCTCAAATTCTTCACAAATTTGATTCTTTGAGAATTTGAGCAGGCATATATGGCTTGAATAGAGCAGAATGAATTTGAGATTCTTTCAACATTTAAGTACATTTTAAGTAAGTATTTACATTTTCACAAAAGAGTTAATTTCACAACCATTTATTCGTGTGTGTGAATTGTTTTTTTTTTGGCTAGAAAGTTAAGAGAATAAATTGGACGGACATATAGATTGTGTGTAGATAGATAAAAAATTATGTATGTATTTTTGTCCATTTTTTTTTTATATAAGTACCTTATAGAAGGTGGTCCCAAAAATTTAAGTATAGTTTTATATATAAAATATCTTTATTATTTTTATAAAAAAGTATCTCATGAGTTGAGCGCAATTATTGCCTTGAAATTGAAAATACATCAATGAAACAGTGAAAATGTAAATGAATAGCTACGTGTGTGGGATTTAACAATAATTAAGTCTATGTACTTCTTAAAATGATCCAGGAATTATTACCTAAATAAGTATATAAAATTATACTAGAATTATTTGGTAACTTTTTTTTTTTAAACATTTTATTTACAATTAATTTTGTTTCAAGTATTTTATATTTTACATAAATTAAAAAGTTCCTAGACCACTTTGAAAAGTTTTATTATATTAAATGAAATATACATTAAATAAATTATTAAATATTATATAAACTAAAATATTTATACCTATAATAAATACAATAGCGAAATAAACGTATATACTTAGGTATTAAATTACTTGAGATTGTCATTTATATGTAAAACGATATTTCGCTAAAGTAAAACGACTAGAACTATACATGATAAATTATAATTTTTTAAACCTAATATAGCTAATATTCATTTTTTATTATTTTTATTTTATTAAATTAACGAATACAACTATTGCACTTCCTTTTGCAGATTCAACAACTAAAACAAGTCTGCAAAAGGGCCGCAATCAAGTCTATTGTTTAATGTAAATAAATTTTATTGAGCATTTTACCTTATAGTTTAGTATTATAAGGTAGGATCTAGAGATTGTTTTATTTCTATAAGGTTCTACTGCAATCTTGCTTCTTGTAGAGCAGGAGCTTGCGCAGCAGTTTGATATGTTATACCCGGGAACCCGGCAGTAGCCGCCGCGGTTTGCAACCCTGGCGTTTGAGGTAGAGCCGCGTAGGTGTACGGCATGTAGTTTGCTGCACCTGGAATGGATAATGAATATGTCAGTATTATTGGATTATGTTTATAATAGGAATATTATTAAAAGTACTTGTTGATTATGTTGGAAAACTAGAGGAAGAGGGGATTTTTTGATTTTTAACTTTATCAATAATGGAAATAGGGGGTCAAATTTAATAGAAAATCATTTCCCTGATTTTTTTCTTTGGGGTTTTAGGGCCTGTGAGAAATTAAAAATGATTTTTGCATTTTTTGCTTTGAAAAATTGTTGATAATTTGACATTGCTTGCTCCACAAAATCGCCCATTACCTAATTATTATTCCACAAATTTTAATGCATATTTATGTGTTCTTAACAGTGGCGGATACAGTGGGGGGCAGGGGAGGCAATTGAATAATAAATAAATATTCATACAAAATCAATAAGATTATGTACAGGGTGTTTTTTATATATTGACATCCCACCTACAGCCTTTACCTTTATAGGTAGGTAGATGAAAGGTGTAAATACAAAAGTTGTGCATACAATATTGGCTAAATTTTTGAAATTCATGATCAAAAACAAAAATTGAATGTTAGAGATGTGAAAGATTGCATGCTTTCAGCTTTTTTCAAATGGGATCAGCTATATGTATTTGGTTCTATATTCTTGAAGAACACAATTTCCCGATTCCAAAACTATATAGTTTGTCTATATTTGGTTGAGCTATGTCCAACATATTTGCTTCTAAAAATTTTAAAAATACTATCAGAAAAACCAAGTACCTACCTCAAATTTTACCTGCAGCTTTCACCTGTAGGTACAGGTAGAATGGATCACAAAATCAGTAGTAGGATAGTATTTTTATAAAAAGCTGAAAGCATGCAAAATTTCACACTTCTGACATTCAAATTTTGTTTCTGACCATGGTTTCTAAAAATTCAGCACAAAATTCTACAACTTTTGTATTTACACCTTTCTTCTACCTGTGGAGGTAAAGGCTGTAGGTGGGGTATCAATATATAAAAAAACACCCTGTACAAATAAGTGGATTATTGGGGAACTTATGGGTGGACCTCGCCATCTACTCACCAATATACTGTTGAACTGTTCAAATAAGACACTCACCTAAAATGTGTAGTTTTTGAACTAATGAGAAAAATTCTCAACTGAGTGAATCAGGTTAGTATTGTATTTGAACAACATATTGGTAAATAGATGGCTGGGTCCACCCATAAGTTCCGCAACAATTCATTTATTTGTACTTGAATAACTTGTCATAATATGCTACTAGTTTGCTAAAGTAACATTACTAATTCCTGTTGAAAGGTAAATTGACAAAAAGTGGATAATCTTACAAATTCTGACTTTATATAATAAGTTATTGTTGAAGTACAAATATAAGTGGATTGTTGCGGAACCTATGGGTGGACCTCTGCGGGACGAGCGCAGCGAGTTCCGCAGCCATCTACTCACCAATATACTGTTGAACTGTTCAAATAAGACACTCACCTAAAACGTGTAGTTTTTGAACTAATGAGAAAAATTCTCAACTGAGTGAATCAGGTTAGTATTGTACTTGAACAACATATTGGTGAATAAATGGCTTGGTCCATCCATAAGTTCCGCAACAATTCACTCATTTGTACTTGAATAACTTGTCACATTATGTTACTAGTTTGCTAAAGTAACATTATTACTAATTCCTGTTGAAAGGCAAATCGACAAAAAGTGGATAATTTTACAAATTCTGACTTTATATAATAAGTTATTGTTGAAGTACAAATATAAGTGGATTGTTGCGAAACTAATGGGTGGACCTCTGCGGGACGAGCGCAGCGAGTTCCGCAGCCATCTACTCACTTATTTGAACCAATATACTGTTAAACTGTTGAAATAAGACACCCACCTGAAACGCGTAGTTTTTGAACTATTGAGAAAAATTCTCAACTGAGTGAATCAGGTTAGTATTGTACTTGAACAACATATTGGTGAATAGATGGCTGGGTCCACCCATAAGTTCCGCAACAATTCACTCATTTGTACTTGAATAACTTGTCACATTATGTTACTAGTTTGCTTAAGTAACATTACTAATTCCTGTTGAAAGATAAATTGACAAAATGTGGATAATCTTACAAATTCTGACTTTATATAATAAGTTATTGTTGAAGTACAAATATAAGTGGATTTTTGCGGAACTTATGGGTGGACCATCTAATCACCAATATTCTATTGAAACTAATGAGAATAACGTACATTTGAGTGAGTCACTTTAGTATCGAATTTAAACAACATATTTGATGTTCAGAAATATTACTAAATGTAAAACATCTATTGGGGTCAGCATGGGATTCCTTTCAGAAATCATGCTGACAAGACATTGATTCGATGAGGAGAATAGATTTTTGAAGACAAGTCAGTCAAGTTTCGGTTCTTCAAGCGGTAGGCAGAAAAGTCTCGGAAAAGTGTATCCCGAAAAAGCGCTCGTTTCGATAAAGTTCTCATGCTGAATATAATGTATAAGTAAAATGTCTTTTAAATAAAATTGTACCTTAGATGTTTTAATCAATTTATTCAATTTTGATCATGGTGTCTTATACAACATTAAAGGAAGCAGAGATCTTTTTAGGTACAAGGAACAAGGGCGAGATAAAGTCCTGGTTGCACTCTGATAATTTAGGGTGTAACATTGTGGTGAAGGTGCCGGAGAAAATAAGGCTACCTTTCAACACAAACGAACAGTCAGAAGTCACATGCTCTTCAATCTACAGCAAGATGGATACGCCCTTGAGCTCCGAAATTCCCATAGAAGGAACAATAAATAAACTTTCTAAGATGGAGGAAGAAATGGCCCAAACGAATATCGAATACCCATCAGAAACAGGATACTGTAATAGATATAAATTAACCTCGGCGGACGATTACACCCTAAAGCCGAATATGGAAGTAACAATTAAGGTATGGACAAACGCAGATTTTGAACAAAATACTTTAGAAAGTTTCAATTTTGAAGAGAATGACTATTTTTTAAGACGAAAAGGAATGGTTTGTCTAACTTCTCCGCACAAAGAGGAAATTAACTTGACCATTAAGGTAGTTTCAAAAAGTCGGAAACCCGAAAAATTTTTTAGAGGCACAACTCTGGGGTTCTTACAAGAGCAACCAAGGCAGAGAATCCCATCGTCAGAACTCCTATGTATCGACCGAGTAGAAGACGAACAGCGAGTAGCCATATCAGACCATAAAATTGATCATATCGCAGACCAAAAAATAAAATCCCAGGTTAAAGAATTGTTGGAAGAGTTTAGCGATGTTTTCTCTAAATCACTTAAGTATATGGGCAAAACCAATCTAGTTGAACATGAAATAGATGTCGGAAACGTTCAGCCGATAAAACAAAAAGCTTACAGGGTCTCTATTTAAGAAACTCTCAAAAGGGCTTTTTGGCTATTTTAGTTTGTGCGGAGCAATCTACAAAGTTCGATTGTGCCTATATTTTTTATTAGCGACTTTTTCGATTATCATATGCGCACACGTCACTTGCTGGAAGTAGCTGCATTTTTATGTTGCCTTGTCCGAGATTTTAAAAATAATATATTCTCGACCGCAGAGTAGACAACACACTCTCGCTACGCGACCCGTACAAATTCGTGTCGTATCGGACAGTTCGGTCACTACAACGAAACTGCCTCTATTTTACTGCTCTAAGAAGCTACAGAGTACTGTGCTACAGTCAACACTCTTCATTTTGGACCAGTGTCCAGTACCCAGAGAACCAACAGAAACCTTTTTAAAGGTAAGTGATCTATGCGTACCGGGTTTAAACATCTAATTCCTTTTTTTTTCAAATCATACAGTCCACTAAACTATTTTCATATTTTCCGCCACAGTCTCACAAAAAGAAAGAGAAATAATTGACAGCCAAATTTCGGAGATAGCGAAATATAACGTTATAAGGCCAAGTCACTCGCCTTGGGCGAGCTCTGTGGTTTTGGTTAAGAAGAAAAACGGATAGACAAGATTTTGCGTTAATTATATAAAATTGAATGAAGTTACAAGGAAATCAAGCTACACCATTCCAAATATAGATGACATTTTAACCTATTTACGAAAAGCAAAGTACTTTTAATGTTTGAACATGTTCTCTGGGTTTTGGCAGGTGAAAATAAAAAAAGACTCAAAACCATTGACCGCGTTTCAAGCCCCGGGACATGGTTTATGGGAATTTAACGTTATGAGTTTTGGTCTTTGCAATGCTCCGGCAACGTTCCAGCAGTTGGCAAATAAAGTTTTTAGAGATCTTAAATGGAATGAGATTCCTATATATTTAGACGACATCAGAATCTTTTCAGAAACCTTAGATGAACATCTCAAAAAATTGAGGAGAATCTTCACAAGACTCAGAAATGCAGGGCTTACATTGAAGCCAGCGAAATGTGAATATTTCAAAGAAAAAATTAATTTGTTAGGCTACTGCGTAACCAAAGACGGAATTTTACCAGATGAAAACAAACTAGTGTCAGTAAGAAATTTTCCAACACCAAAAACTGTTAAGGATATTCAAAGTTTCATCGGCCTGTGCAATTATTATTGCAAATTATTTGAAAAATGCTCTAAAATAGCACAACTCTTACATAGGCTAATCAGAAAGAAGACTGGATTCGTGTGGGGTGAAGCTCAAAAGAATGCATTCAACCACCTCAAAAATTGAACTGATCACAGCCCCTGTCTTAAACCACTATGATCCGGAAAAGGGCTGCGAACTACGAGTCGACGCTTGCTGGGAAGGTATCGGTGCTGTTTTATTGCAAGAGGGAGAGAACCCATTTTGCCGATGAACGCAACCCTAATACCACTCTCGAACAATATTAACAGTCACGAAATCAGAGCTACCTCATTAGATGTCAGTGGAAAATATAAAGAGGCGACAGAACATTGAAAAAATTCGATACGGCGCCAAACATAGGCATGTATAGTATAAAGAAGGGATCAAGTAAAAGTATTCACGCCAGTAAGAAAAGTAGGAAGAAGCGAAAAGCTGCTACTGAGATGGTTTGGTCCCTACTGAAGAAAACCACCTATTTAAAATAATATATCTTCAAATCTCAACTTTTTAAAAAAGTGTTTACTGAATACAAGTAAATGTTGCAACCATGTAATGCGCCCTCAAGTTTAGGTTTTGGGGAAATAAGAACGCAGCGCCGCCACGAGAGAGCGTAGGTACCGAAGAGGATAGAAGACAGAAGAAGAGAAACCAATTAAGAGTTTAGATCCGCCATTGTGGGTCTTCCAATTTCTCCTTATTTTGTTATTAAAATTTTGTGTTGGGTGATTAGTTTGTGTGAGAGTTCAATTTATGCAAGTACCGATTATTTTGTTTATTTTTATGTATTTTTTGTTTGTTCATAACATTTTTTATAACATGTGCATTGTTCATGTATTTAACAAAAATCGTTTCATGCTGTAAAAAACACAGATAAATTAAAACCTAGAAAAATAATGTGCTTAAATTTTGATTTTTGAATTAGCGTACATTAGGGCCTTGTTGAATTTACTAACATTTTCCTACCCTGACAAGAGAATATCCTAACAAATTGAAATATTCAATCTAAAGATATTGTCTCAAAAACAACTATAGCTGAGTAGCTTCCCGTATGGGACCTCAGTACCTGCTGGGAAACTGGCTAACTAACCAAAAACTCTTCAGTATCAAATCTAGGTAGTGTTGATTGAATGTAGTATGTATAATTGAAATTTTAGCACAAGAACAGGGGCGGTACCTAATTTAAACTTTTATTGACTTAAATTATTGGATTATTGACAATTATTATTAAAATGACACAGTATGTTTCGATTTTTGAGGAATGTTAGATCGAGGGTTTCTCTGCCGTGCTCTTTCCCTTCGTTAGTTCCAGGATAAGAACGGTATGATTTACTTTATTAATAAAGTAGAGGTTTCACAAATTTTTCGTTTCTTTTACATATCACAACCTTCCTTAAATTTCCCAAATATTTGCTATGTCGGGCGCATGTCCAGTAAGTAAAATTGAGTAAGTTCTCACAACTTAGGTCCTATTTGTTTCTCATTTTATTTTTCAGAAGATTTGTTGTTTAAAAGGTAAAGTCTGTTTTTTTTTTTTAGATAATTCCCCAAGTCAAAAATTTAGTAACTATGTTGGCAACACAATAAGCCTTTTCTACATAAAAAATTTGAAAGCTTGACAATGGCAGCAAATATCCAGTTAAGTTCCCCGAAATTTTGTAGAGGGCGTGAGTGAACTTGGAGTGCTTTGAATTTTGGCGGTAAATGTCAATAGTTTTAAACCGTTTTAATAAGTAGAAGGAAAGATGACTACATTTGAACAATGAAGAGTGAATAAGTTAATATATCTTTCAAAACGTTCAGTGGTCCTTAAAGATTATTTTCAGCGTCAGCTTGTGTTGAAACCACACATCAAACTTGACTTTTGAGGTTAAAACTTCATTCGATTATTTACGCGCTAAAATTTAAAAAGCTCCAAGTACAGAAGCGCCCTCTTCAACTCAACTGTCAATATTACATGCCATTTTACATTGTATTGCCAACATAATGTCATTTTGACTTTTATCTTGAAAAAAAAACACACTTTAATAAAAATTCTCATCGTTCCATCTTACTAAACGAACCCTGGGTATGTAATACTACAAAGCCCCAATCGAGATCTACTATTGGACGAAATTTCTTAATGACAGATTTCCTGGTTTCCAAAACATGGCCCTTTGAAATATTTGAGAATGAAATTCCCTTAGAAAAATTTCAATTTGGATTTTTCTAAATGTTTTGGATTTTTGTCTTTACCAATCGAAAGAGGGGGCTTAATTGAAATCTTAATTAACAGGTTTGTAGAGAATTTAATTGGGTTTAATTAGAGTCTAATTACGTTGAAATCGGATGGAAATTAGCGGAGCTGTGTCGCGAAAACTGTCTCAATTGTCATTTTGGAAAAAAACTCTACAAAAACCCAAAAACTATTACAATAACCTCAAACACCCAAAAACACAATAATAGAAATTCTGAAAAACCCGGGTAGAAGGAATGATAGAGGTTCTTAAATTTCCAAAAATGCTGGATCTATTGTCTCTGGCTCAATCTTGATTGCCATGCATGACAAACTCTTGAAAAATCCATTTTAAATCATTCATTAACTGAAAATTTTGACAGGTGTACTTACTCGCTGCACTAGTATAAGGCGCATAAGCATCAAATCCATTAGCGTACTGATTAGTGTAGGGCGCAGCCGCAGCCGCAGCTACTGCGGCTGCGTTCTGGTACTCGTAAAATTGCGACGTGGCCGCTGCGGCGACTGCGGCTGCGTGCGACAGCTGCGTAGCTTGTAGTGGTACCAAACTGCCAGGCGCAGTAGCTGTCAAATAAGGCGACTGGTACATGTAGCTGGGAGGCATTCTGAAAGAAAAACATTTTCGTTTATTAATTTTTTTCCAATAGGGGAATCAAAGCACGCAGCAAACAACACCATTTTTATTAGGAACGCCCCTATGAATATCGACCAACTCCTTTATATATAAATGGAAGATCTTGATTGTTTTTGAGTTGATTAGTTTACAAAAAGTTTGAAGAATCGAGATTTTCCATGCAAACAACAACAAAAAAAACAGGTGGTTTAAAGCTATTTTTATAACACTTTTTCTATTCAAATTACTTGCACCAAAAAATACCCTATAGGAAATAATATATAGCCTATTTGTTATAGGTAATATGTTTGTCCAAAATAATATAGGTAAATTATTGATGATTGATTTTATGTTCGGCCTTTCTAATGGTTATTTTGTTTTTATTTCCTTTATGAGCACTCCAATTTTTCTAAAAGCATATAAATAAAAAGGGGAACTGTGTCAATGCAATTAGGCTAAAATATAATATTTAATGTGTCTTGTTAATTTTCTTTAGTTTATTAGGTACCTTGTTTGATTCTACTAATAATAATCAAGAAATAATGAGGAGTCTATGTAGTAGGTAATTTTGTTAGTTTCATTCTACAAAAGATTATCGTGAACTTATAATTGTGGCATGCAATGTGAAAATTATAAAGCCTACATGAAAGTTTTAAAACTAAAAATTGATAATTTCTCGCTGTGTATTTCCTTTGCTGATAGTACAAAAAACGCGAGCAAATAATATTTTCTACAATGGAAAAATGGAAAATCAATGTGACCCATGTCATGCAAGTGACAAAAGAATGTCCTTGTTGGTTGGAAATTTACGATAAACCCTTTTTTTATTCTATATAGTTTTACATTTAAACAGAACTTTATCCTGCAAGTACCTACTGATGAAAATCTTGGTCTAGAAATCAATTTGTCTCATCTTGAAGAACATTTATTTTGAAGCTTCTATTATTTTTTTTCATTTTTCTAATCAGGACCGAGGGGTCAACCCCTCACGAAAAAACGTACAGTGATTTCCAGTTTCTGGGAATACTTCTCAAATTTGTACAGTATTTCCCTCGGTATTTCCAAATATTCCCCCTCGTATTCCCCCGTATTTCCAAGTACGGTCAACTTTTAACTGTAACAGCAAGGTAATTGGGCCATATATGCCAGTTTTTGGTTTACTGAAATTTGAATTTCCTGCGCATAAAAATGCGTTTGAAGTGGGTCTCATTTTTACCCTGCATGTAGTAGAAAGAACGCCGCCGAATTAGTTTCTGAAAAATTGAAATTGAAATCGAAGTGTATCCTTATAATAACAAGTGACAGCAGAAGTTTGGATTTCAATCAATGGTAAGTAATTACAGTGAATAATTTTGCATTGAGCATGTTTAACCGTATGAGAAAGATATAAGGGTAAGCCAGGTTTGTTCTTAGCTTAGAATTGCACAGCTTGGGTTCTCGTTGCCCAGGTAAAAATACGTCCAGAGGCAACTGCATGGAAACGTATACGATGTGGCTAACTGGAACATGTTCCACCTGATTAATATTGTATTGCACAAATTCTCGTTTGTTCTAGAGCAAATATGCGGTCAGGAATTACATCCGTAGAACCTCTAAAAGTGCGGACGGTGGAAGATACACAAAGTTGGCCCTGAAAAAACCAATTGAAGATGTCCAAAACGCTAAGAACACGATATACGGTGCAGCCGTTTTCTATGATTATCCCAAGATCCACGATAAGACTCTTTATATTTGGGACAAGAGGGAAAGGTATATATTGTCGATAGCAGGATAAGGTGGTGAAGAAATATATGAATGAAGTAGAAGAATAACTGTCAACTGTGCTGAATACCATGCAGAAATTGAGATATTATGGATTACTTACGAAAGAAAATAGGTTTCTTATTTTATTCTTTATTCAATTTACCATTCTTATTAAACATTATTTTCTCACTACTAAGGAATGCTTTTGTTGCATCTCCCATGATTTCCATAATTCTTGAGCCAAAAAAACAAAATTTGGCAGGATCTTTTCATACATATACGTTACAATATGTTCCAGTCGCCTCGAAATTATTACTATGTGAATGCATAAGAAAATACGGGTCACTGTTTCAGTTGCCTCAAAATTAGGATAACTGGAACAGTTGACCGAAAAAAATTGGAACATTTAACCGGAATAAAGTGGAACACTAAACCAGAACGAACATGCATGCAATTCTTGAGATTTCAATGAAAATGTCCAAAAATACGTTAAAAGTGGGGTTGGAAGTTATAGAAATTTAGAAGTACATACTTCCATTTATTTCCAAATTATTCCCATGTACCTACTTCCAGAGTATTCCCATATACTTCCATAGTATTTCCAAGGATTTTCAAGTATTCCTAAGTATTTCCAGAGCATTACCAAGTATTCTAAAATATTCCCAGCAAAGTGTACAATGCTTAAGGAATTCTGTGTAAGGCTTCTTTTCAAGCATTTTTTCTAGATTCTCTTTCTTGCTAGTTTTTCAGATATTGCTTCTTATTCGAAAATATGCCCTCCAACGTTGTTCGCATTTTCATATCCACAAAACTTCTCAACTAGCTGTTACGTTGAATTTTGCACCTATTCTTCAATTTTTTCGATTTGTTGCTTGCCAAAAACAAGTTATCGACGTAAGAGTTTTTGTGTTGCCTTCAAATTTGTACTGTGACATTTATGTAAAGTATATATGGACCCCGCAGATTTCTTATAGAGTTTCTAACCGCGGTCAAATTTAAGTATGTTATAGATCTCACCTTTCTGATCAATAACTACCATGGGCACAACTTAATCCTATGACCAGTTTTTGAGATACAGAGGTAGTTAAATGTCCAAGAAATGTACTTATTTTATATGCATTTACATCTACCTGTCATCTAATAATATTCCAGGAGGGACAGGTATCCTATAACGCTTAGGTGACAGGTAGATGTATCTTGTTCCAATTGAGTTTGGAAATACTATACATTTCTTGGACATTAAATTACTTGTATCTCAAAAACTAGTCATAGGATTAAGTTGTGCCCATAGTATTACCTAGTTATTGATCAGAAAGGTGAGATCTATAACACACTAAAGTTTGGTTGAATATGACCGCAGTCAGAAATCCCATAAGTGTGCGGGGTCCTTTAATTTTTTTCACCAGCATCAGTTTCATGTCAAATTTATGTAAATTCAAGGTCTGTTCCAACACAAGAGGAAACCGTACAATGTACCATCACGATTCTGAATTAATCATATAGTATATTTTCGTATGGTTCTCCATTCGTAGGTTGATCGAGTGTACGTCACTGGTATTTTCTTGTTTGTGACTATCTCCTCAACCTTTCCATGTTAGTATGAATTCAATCCTATGTACAGTTTTTGAATAATCATACAGTTTTCTATGTACAGTTTTCGAATAATTATACAGTTTTGTATATTTTCGTATGGTTCTCCATTCGTAGGTCGATCGAGTGTACGCTACTGGTATTTTCCTGTTTCTGACAGCCCCCTCAACCTTTCCATGTAGTATGAATTCAATCCTATGTACAGTTTTTGAATAATCATACAGTTTGGTATATTTTCTGATCAAGAATATATATAAATATGCATGAGAATTTCTAAAATATTGATTCAGTACAGAGCTGTCACAAATACTGGTAAATAGTAGATATTTTAAATACTAAGTATCAATTACTGGAAATTCATGTTGTAAGTACAAATACTAAATAGTTTCAATTTGAAAAGTACTTCAAGTTTCAAGTGCTTTAATTCTGTACTTGATTTTTTCAAGTAAAATAGTTCATCAAATACTCTGTATGTATTTCAAGTACCTAATTGAATATTTGAAATACTAAGAAGTACCTACTTCAAGTACCCACTAAAAAGAAATTCAAATTATTCAATGATTTTTTTAAAATTTTATAATGAAAGCTGAAAATACTTGTAATACCTCTGAAAAAGTACTACAGAGATTCCAGATTCCAAGATTCCAGTTGCAGATTGCAGTTCCCGAGGTAGTTACCTAAAATTTAACAATTTAAAATTTATCTAGAAACTGTTGATTAAGAAATAAAGTTCGAAGTGCAAGTCAGAAAGCGCATGTCTTCGAGTTGCGTTCACTATTTCTGCAAAACTAAAAAGTCTTTCTACAGTGGCTGATGACGGAAGACACGTATTGTACCTATGAAAAACTTCCTTTATGACAGGAAACTTATCCAAGGATTTTATATCTATGTACTGGTATCCTCTGCATACTTGTTAGGACATGTTAATTTCACATTTGGTGAAGTATTTGAATTAATTTTTCTGGTATTTCGATTACTTTTTACTTTCTGGAGTATTTGAAATATTTTCAAGTATTTTGAGTACAAATGTCCAGTATTTCAATTACGTTTTTTGTAAATTCAAGTACCAAATACATATACTTTATTTAAAGTATTTGTATTTGATGGTACCAACCAACCAAAAACAAAAGTATTTGAATTGTAATACTAAACAGTAATTAAAATATAATTTCCAATTAATTTACTTGAAGTACTGACAGCTCTGATTCAGTATGAGTACGATTTTTTCCAGGACCAAAAATGCCAATAAATCTTCAACAAAATGATATTGCATCGTATCTGGTCTATTTCACGTCTTTCATTTATTGTAAAATGTTGGAACCTTTCACAAGAATTTTGAGCTGAAGCTTAAATCAGTTAAGAAAGTAAGTGGATCTCTTGAATAGACCAAACAAAATCTGGAATGCAACAGATTGCTTGAAAATCTATTGATTATTGATTCATGAATGAAAGAAGATTGGAGTAAGTTATGATTGAAGAAATTGAAAATGGTGAGATTGAAGCTAAAAAATGCTGCAGCCAAAGTGAAGCTGATGATGAAGGCAAATCTGAAGCAAAACGTTGAAGAACTTAAAGTTTTATGTAACTGGAGGGTAGATGATGAACCGAGAAGAAGTCTTAATGTTTCTTCCCCATTTTTTGTGAAGTTCTTGTCAGGTT